CGAGCTGGCATCCAACTGTTAGGCGTTCGCGCGCAAGACTGAAAGCCCTGGGTTTGAATCCTGCAGGTGGAATCGTGGATGCTCACCGCCATTGAGGTGTCCCACAATAGAACGAAACGGCCGTCCAGTGCTTTCAGGTTTTCAATGGTGGTCTGACATCAATCTATTCATGACCTCGATCGAAAATATAATAATATCCACAACTTTATACTGTCAAACAGTTTAATTTAAACAATATGAATAGAAATAAATAAACAAATAAGAATGTATAAATTAGAGTTAAATGGTGATCTAATCGGAATAAAATTATACTTTTTTTTCTAAAACAAAAACACTACTAAAATTAGCAAGACGGTAGGGAATATACACATTTTAATGTACAATATTTAAATTAAATTGAGGTGTTTTTTTAAAGAAACGTTTTTTTTTTACATGAAGGTACCTATATGTAAAATCCAACTCACACGTTCTCGTCTTGCCTACTGGATAGGGGGACTTGTCCCATGAATTATCGTGAGCGGTAAACTGGGTGGTAGAGATCAGACTAATCTACTACTCGACCGATAATCATAAACTGTTACTAGTGCTATAAAGAAAAATAGCACAGCTTTAACTGCAAAAATAGCTATCCCACTTCGGTAGCTGTGCCGTACTTCGATATAGCCACTCCTCCATAAAAGCCTACTAGGCTTCACCAATTCATTTTATCTGGAACGGGAGGACTATCATTAACTTATTGATTAAAGCTTATTCAGTAAAATAGCTGAACTAACTTTGTTGATACAATCATCACAGACAAAAAAAACATTGATTTCATCTAATGAAGCAGTAAGAAATTAAGTTTCCACTACCCCACCACCGCTCTTTGTATATTTTCCTGTTTCACTTAATAATATTATAGTCTTCTGTAGACATTGTATAATCTTATCATCCAGCACCGATCAAATCAATTTTATATAATAAATCAATATGATTTTATGTTTAATCGTCAAGTTTTCATCATATCAACCAACATAATCATTTCAAATTAGAAGCTATTCAATGATAATTATTTCATATTGTTTTAAATAATACCTCAATCTAGAAAGAAATCAAAGTATTTTCACGTTTTGTAATGCAAACAAATTACTAGTATATGTTAAGAATGAAACGAATACCATCAAATAGAATGTAATGTTCATCTTTTAACATTGAAAGTTGATCGAATTCGAAAAGCTCCTTGGTTCGACTTAAGATAGTGTCTCAGTCAGTCAGTTACGACGTATGACCAAACACATATATGCATCTGTAGAAGTTCTCATACCTTATTAGCACAACAACATAAACACCAAATTCATAGAATTAGTTAATTCAGTGGTGATAATAAACAAAAGAAAGATTGCATATAAGGATATAGTACAGGGAGAAAGAATTAGTTGGCAGGAAGCTATAAAGTGAATTTAATTTCACAATTTAAGGGAGGACAAAGAGTGTATACACCTACGCCATTGTGATCGATTCTGAGCCATGTCACACACAGTCTACAACCATTGGTTACGATAGTTACACGGACTCCAACCAAATAGTCTGCATCTACTAATATGGCTAAGACTAGAATTTAGTGACTTCAAGGACTGATGCCACGTTTTGATTTGGCCATCCCTAACTTTCTTCCAACCGTCTCTAACACTAGTAGGCATTGCGTGTCGTGGCAATCGGTGTTCAGCTATACGCAACCATCTTAGTCAATGAAGATTTACAACCTCATCAACTGATTTATCATCATTCCCTAATACCTTGTGTCTAACCTCACTATTATTTATCCGGAGATCCCAACAATATTTCTAAGGCATCTGTGGTCAGTTACTAGTAGCTTACGAGTATCTTCAACTCTTAATGGCCACGTTTCGCAGCCGTAAAATACAACCGAACGAACTGCCGTACAGTACATACAGTGTCTACTTATCTCATGTACTGATGGTTTATAATAGTTTTTGAGACTAAATTTATTCTTTTCGATTAGATCTTCATCAGGCTTTACTTCTAATATACAGTAATATTTATATGCATATACGAAATTAATAAACCAATCAGGGTAGTTTATAAGTCAATGATAACAATGAAAACGATTACATAATAAGTGAAAAGTGAAAAGTACAAATTGACAGTGTAATAACAAGTGATAAGAATAATAAAGGCTCAAATCAATGTTACATAATCGGAAATAGGTCAATGATTAGAAAAATATAGACAGTGAAATAACTTTGATAAAATTATAAGATGACGTAATAAGAAGTGTTCAGATAATTGAACCATGAAACGTATAGTTGAGAGAAAATAAAGTGATAGGAGGGGGTGAAGAAAAATAATAAACCAAGAGAAAGTTTGAAAAAAATAATACATAAATTCATTTATTAAGGCCAAAGGAGAGATAAGGGTGTTATAATTTTCTTCTGAACACAAAGACTTGGCTTGTTGGCTCGGATTCCTATAGCTTCTGTTATGTGTAAGAGATAAGATCGAACACCATAAGGAAAACTAGTGGGAATAAGATAAATAACTTTAAATGACTTGTTTCTGTCCACTACATGACCGCTATCGACCAAGTGTGATAGAACCGAGCTGCGTATTGTTTTGACGTAACCTTTTCCTAACCACGAAGGGAGGTGTTCACTAACTCTTTGGTTCAGTTGCCTGGTAGTGCGCCCTAATATAACTTTCTCCACAGGAGCAGCTGAATTCGTAGATACACACAGAAGTGGCATAACCAGGTAACTTGTCCTACAGTTGAGGAATCACCATTGATCGGGTCGAATACGATAGATAGAGGTCGACAGCATTAAACGTTCTCGTTACTGCTCTAGTCAGTCTACCTCGTAATACATCACGAGATACATCACCATTGAATTGCAGTTTCAAGAAAAGCGGTTTCTTATTAGCCGTCAGGGTCACTGTTTTCCTGTTTTTTACGCGCAAGTGTTTCTACAGGAAACCCAGTGGATATCCCAATTCAATCAAAATATTATGAATGTGTTGTAATTCTCTATCAATAGTGTCGACTGAGCATATCTTAATAGCTCTATTTGCCAGACATTTGACTAAGTTTCTCTTATAATGAAGAGGCACAAAGCTTAAAAAATGTGTGTATTGGCTTGGCGAAGAACTTTTTCTATACACACCTCTGCTGATAGAACCATTTTCTTTTCTACTTAACAAAACGTCAGGGGAATGTAGTTTATTATCTATTTCCTCTTCATATGTAAATTTAATTGCAGGATGTTTGTCATTAAATAGTTCTAGTAGTTGTTCTTTTCTAATGTTCTGGTCAGCAATGATGAAAGTGTCATCAACGTAACGACAGTAGAAATCCAGTTTATTGATAACCTCTTTGAGAGGTCTGTTTTCTAGTTTCGCCAAAAAAATCCTCAAGGATGGGACCTAGAGGCGAACCCATCGCTATACCATCAATTTGTCTATAATATGTGTTATTAAAGACAAAATCGACATTCATTTCAAAAGTAATTCTTTAAGACTAAACTCAGGAATTCTAATATTGATTTGTTTTTCCTGTAGTTGTTGGCACACAGGATCAATAGTCTCCGTTAACGGTACATTGGTGAACAGGGAAGCAACATCTAAAAATATCATCCGTTTCCCATTAACGTTCATATGTTCCACTTCAGAAATGAAATCGAAGACGTCTTTCATGCTTCTGTTAACGACTAGTTTGTGTAAGGGATTTAGGATTCGAACTAGCCACCTTGGAGTTTTATGATATGGTGAATTATACATATCTAAAACTGGGCGAAGAGGAAGACCTGTCTTGTGAACTTTAGGTAAACCATATAGTCGCGGTGTTCGATCCAGTGGGTTTGAGTGAGTCGTGTATGTCAGGAGTAAGTATACCTTTATTTTTTAAAATTCATCTAGTGAGTTAGTCAGCAATTTTTCTGCCTTCACGTCGTTGAGTTTCTGAAATTTTGTCGGATCATTCAAAATCGAATTCATTTTATTAATGTAATCGGCTTTGTTCATAAGAATTAGCCTTCCTCCTTTGTTCGGCTTGCTTATGATTAGAGTGTTGTCTTTTATAAGCATATGTAAAGCATTTCGATGCTGTTTGGTAAGTGGAGTTTTCATTGTACTTTTACTATTTGTGTATTGTTGGCAGACGTCCAACAACGTAGTCTTAAACCTAGTAAGTTCATCGGGTGAAGTAGGCATCAAATCTGTTGTTTGTTTAAATCGATTTTTAAACTGTACATCTGTATTGAGTTGGTTTATTTTATTTCTAAAGCCTGATGAAGATCTAATCGAAAATAATATTGTTCGCTTATATCTATGTGGATTGGTTGAAGTTAGACATTAACACCGTTGGATGCCGGCTCAGTGGTCTAATGGCTAAGTGCTCGCGCGCGAAGCCAGTAGGCCCTGGGTCCGAATCCCGCCGGGGGCGGGTTGGTGGATGCGCACTGCTGAGGAGTCCCATACTAGGACGAAACGGCCGTCCAGTGCTTCCAGGTTCTCCATGGTGGTCTAGCTTCAATTGGCTCATAATTTCAACTTGTGATATATCTATGTTGTTCTAAATTTACAATATGAGAATATTTCAAATTTATATTTATTCTGTTTCTCAAGAATTACAGGAGTTTGAAATAGTACAAAATACCTGTCATGGATTTCACTGTTATTCGCAATTCATGTGCTCTAAACCTTGGCTACATCAAGGCTTGCCATTCAGGATACACATCTATCAGCAAATATTGATCATACACGATTTAAGTATTAAACCTGATTGAGAAAATTATCTATACATTATAAAGTGAAATTATACTCTTTAACGTTTAATATTTGAATTATTAGTCAGTTACAAATGCCTTTCCTACGAAAAAATAATTACAAACAAGCACTGAACTATGCAACTAATTGTGTTGTTAAAAGTATTCACAGTTGTTTTGTTTTTTTTCAATTTTCCTATATTCATTCATGTGTTTATTTGTATGTGTTTGTATATTGAATAGATGGTGCTAAGTCATCAAAACAGTCAATATCATCGACTAGTCAAAATGCTAGCGAAAAATCTCTACGTCCCAATCGTTCGTCATCATCATCACCGCCATCACGATTTGTCTGTCGTTCACCGAATCCTTTCTCTAAACCAATCTCTCCAAATAACAATAATAATGATAAAATGATGGATATCAATATGGAAAGTGAGAATGCAATAAATGTAATCACTGATGAGTTATCGGACACCACCACAACAACAACAATATCAACAACAACTGGAACACTGACACCAACCATAACAAATACAATTTTTAATAAAACATTATTTACTAATGATGCCAGCATTAATCATCATACAAATACTGTAACAATTAATAATTTTTCCTTGAATCCAATTGAAGTAGCAAATGCTGCCAAAGTTGCTTTACTTATGGCACATCCATTAGAAGAACCAAAACGTGTAGCATGTGCTATCTGTGCAAAACGTTTTAAAAATCAATCTGCTCTAAATGGTCATATGCGATTACATGGTGGTTATGGACCGGCTGGTTTGATTGGAGGGAATAACACCTCCACCACCACGACAACGACAACAGTAACAACGACATCACAATCAAATCAAACCTATACTGCTACTACTACTATTGATAGCAGTAGTAATGATAATCAAGAAAGTAATAAAGCAATACATTTTAATTTATTTCAAACAAGCTCTGGTCATATCAAGAAAAATAACAATGTTTCAGATTCCAAGAAAAAAGGCTATTCAACATCTAGTGATATAGACTCTTTGAAGTCGTTCGGTTTAAAATCTCATCCAAAGGGATTTACAGTAAGTATATTTTTGTTGGTACTAATTAATTTGATGGTTAACTGATCAGTGGTAGCGATATAAAATCTAATGTTGTGGCAGCATTAATAGTAAATGAAAGATTGTATAGTTTAGAGCTAACAGCAAAATCTGACCTAAGGCCTCCTCGCGGCGCTGCTGAATGGTAGGGGCAACCTTGCTAGCCAACCTAGGCGGTCAACGGAGATCGAACTGATCACCCACTCTGTTGTATCCTTGATCAACTCAGGTTCTGCTCGAGGCTCTCTTAATCACACGTGGCCACCTGATATGTCTGCTCATGTATAAGAAATGCAGAAGTCCTCGGGCCTTCGTAGTCCAAGTATGTAGGTATATGCAAACGGTATGCAAAGGAAACGTTAGCTGAAATCTTGTTGACCCCATGTTTAGTAAAATCAATGGCCTAATCTATCAGCTCTAATACATAATCAGAACATATGGTAGCAATTACTAAGGAGAGGCCACCAAATACCTTTTCTGTGGGAATGATTATGCTTATATGTGTGCCAGGAAGTACTTGGGCGGTTGTTAGCGGGACATAGACGGGATTAAAGCATGCTCAATGCACGATTACTTTGGTGCACGCCGATTAGCTAATTCTTATCCAATCAGCACTAGTCGATATATGGAGAATACTCTAGAGTCTTCTCATGTAAAAACTATATTACTAACGTTTTCCCTATTGTGCTTCTTACTTCCATCTAATCTTGTTATTTGGAATATAATCTCTTTCCTGTCCAACCGTATTCTGATTTGGGGAGTTATCGAGTGAATCGGTGTCCGAGAATACTAAGCAATAGGAATAGCTGGGTCGTAACCGTAAGAAAAAGTTTTTAACAGCGGTAAACATGGGCTGAATGGTATGTGTGTAATGTGTAAAAGAGTCTGTGTGGCACATACGATTCTAAGGGAGTGGTGAACATCTACCCTCCGAAGTGGGCGAATATACCTATATGTATGCTATAGGATGAGTGGGATAAAACCTGTGTGCCTGTAACATACATTTGCTCACAGGGTAGGTATACTTGCATGTATATAAAAGGATACTCGGATGAAAGTCCGTGCGTTACCTAGTATGCATGTAGACTATATCTGTCCAGGGTAATTGAAATCTCCAAATATCCTTCACTTGCTCTTCCTACGATACCGGAATACACGCAAAGATCTGCTGGACCGCGGTTACCGCACGAAACCACATCCACGTGGTGAGTTTGTGGGTCTTGAAAACTCAGAATTCGTTCCAGAAGGACTTACATATGCTCTCTCAAAAAAAGCCTTACCAACCAATCTGTCTGGAACATCGCATCATACATCACCATAGTCTACATCGCGAGCTGACCTTTAAAACCACGAAGTACTAGACAATCTTCGCATACTTCTTACATTAGTAGTTAATATATCCGCACTGGAGACTAATTTCTTCAGGTAATCCCTGAAGTTTTGTAGAAAGCGCAGTGGCCCAGTAGAATTTCACCTAGTCATATGTGGGGCCTCAAATTTCAGATAAGTCGAAGTCATGTACACGAATCTGTATTTAGTAAATGTGTTAATATTTATGATATACTATCTCAATCTCGAAATGATGAACTTTATATTGACGATTTCCTGCTTGATCTTCACAAATCTGTCGTCATAATAGTTACCAGTGAGCATATAATTGTTATTTTTTTGGAGGTTCGTTCTTGACGTATATGTGTTTCACCATAAATGGAAATCAGTTCATGGTGGGAGTTTACTAACACATATGTCCGAGTTTCACCTTAATTATTGAAACTATTTGTAGCTTTCGTTTAAGTAACCAATATTGAACAGAATGTCCAACGGACAATTGCTTGAGGCCAATCTTTTTTCTAATTTTTCTGTCTTCTGAAGAAAATTTATATTCGAGAAATTTAAACTTGCTTCATTCAATATTTCGTTCGGATTAAGCATTATTGAGTTTTTCCTCTTACATTACACCTGGTCGTCTGTAGATTTTTTAAAAATATTTGACAGCTGTTTGCTAATATTTTTATATCATGTACGTCGCTGACCGAGTTCAGTTAGTTTCGTCCTAGTATGGAACCCTTCAACAATATTCACACAGAGAGTTACTACTGATCGGACTGAGGACATCCGGGTCTCATAAAAGTCGTGATCGCACACTTCTAGGAGATGCTATACTACTACAGGACTTCTGTTCATTTCTTTATGATTTCCAATCGCTGTCTAACCAAGATCAGTTCGTAATGCAAAGTGAAATTCAACCATCTATAAATCCCCCTTACACTAATAATATCGATCTTGTTTATTAATTTATTGATAAATATAGGCATCACAAAATAGTTACGACTCTGTTTTATCAAGTATTGGTGGAACAAATACTAGGCCTACTACATTTGTGATGACTACAGCTGCTTCTTCAAATCCTTCCACTTCGACCGATCTGTCGACAACAAGATCTACTAATACAACAGTAACATCGAATAATCCCATTAAAAATGTCAATTCACCTAGTTCCGCTCTATTTGACTTGGTTAATACATCATCAAATACTCCAGATTTGAAAATGCAGTTGTCTAATAGTCATGATCATCGTCATCATGCTATGAATAGTAATATTAATAATGATAATAATACTTGGTCATATCCACTTAACAAACAAAAATTAGAATCATCCTATAACACTTCATTAATTGATCATTGTTGTAATAGCCCTAATATGTTAAGTCAACAGCAAAAGTCACAGTTAACATTTGATCATCAAAATGAGGCTTTATCAAATACTGTGGTTAGTTGTCATCATTGTCAACCTCATCAGCCTCTGTCAACATCAGCATCTTCATCATCTATTCATGATAGCTTATGGTTATCACAACATGATGATCATACATCAGGACAACAACAATTGTTTCGCATAAATTCGTCAGAATTTGATCATATTGTTGATATTATTAAAAAAGATACTCATATTACTAATAATACTATTACTGATAATGACAGTATTAAAAATCGTCGTCATGTACCAGTTGATGAATTATCTATGTTAAAATTCGGTTCAGCATTTTCTTCAACCTCATTGGAAAAAACTACCACACCAGTATCAACAACCACATCGAATAGCAGTTGTTCATTATTATCACGAAATGAAGAATTTCCTCTGACAATGAGCACATCGTTTCTGTCTGAAGCATCAATGTTAATAACAGACCAGGGTACAACGCCATCAATAAAACATACATGTTTACCATCATCAATTCATTGTTTATCTAATGCAATCACTACTACTTGTAGTATTAAATTTCTCAATTCTTCATCACAACGATCTGAATTATTTGGTTTAATGAATAATGACGATTGGTGGCATCCTATTTCAAACCATGCAAGTAGTAATAATGATACTAATGTACAGTGTCCAATAGATATGCATATATTTGACCAGAAATGGCCATCTATCGAACATGTCCAATCATCGAATAATGATAATAATAATTTAAATGTGTTAGCAAATTTTCAATTAAAGAATACTACAAGTACTGCTGCTTTTTTTGATGAAAAACATATGATACATACTACTAATATTAATAATGATAGTAATATTATGCCACCAAATATTCATTTGGTAAGTTGAAATTCTCTATTTTATCTATCGTCATTTTTTATTTATGAATTGATGCCTTAAAATTCTTTCTTAATTGATATTTCTGATCATTTTTAACTATTTAGTTATAAAATTCCAAGATGAAAATCTTCCCCAAATGCCCTAGTAATGTCGAGGGTAAAGAGAGTCAACTTTGCCTTTCGAAACGCTCTCACATAGACACGTTCATACAACCACTGTCAGAGAAGACCTACTCACTACCTTCTTGTGGCGGGATTGTTGTTTACGAAATTGAGAGAACGAAAAGCGAATGTCCGGCGCTTTAACCAAGTTGGTGGAAACTCCATCTAGAGAAGTTAGAAAACTCTGATCCCAAACCAATGGTGCAAATGGGCTCCAGGATACTGAGGGAACAAATGGCGTATGAACCAATTGTTGATCACCGGGTACCATAAGACTGCATCTGCTGACGTTGCTCCACTGCCTTAGGCACCTGGGCAGTATCTCAGCGCTCACAGAAATCGAGTGAAAAAGTGTGGCGCATATGTATTCGGTGCCCTCCTGTACCAACATTTATGTGTTCAAATAAACTTGGAAATGAATCGCGATGAATTTTTAAGTGTACTTTGTATATATGTAAACAACGTTCTAGCAGTGGTTCAATAATCGTAATAGATACAATGTACTTCTGACCCGTTACGGTAACGTAAACAGTGTCAAGAATCGTCTAGACTTCCTCTGTGAATGAAGTCGTAAACCGGCAATGAATGTTGCTAGTCAATATAATACTATTATTCAGTCATGAAAATGTTACACGGTTGTATTGTTCTGATATGATGTCAAATTCAGTCAGTCAGTCAGTCAGCTACAACGTAGGACCAGGCACATATGTGCATCGGTCCAGGTTGCCATACCTCATTAGCACAACAAGATGAACACCGGATTCATAGGAGTGGTTAGGTCAAAGGTTGCAATAAGGATATAGTATAGGAAGGAAGAATTAGTTCGTAGAAAGAAAGATATGAAGTGATTTTAATCTCTTAGTTTAAGGCAAGACAGGGAGTGTATACACCGACGCCATTGTGACCGATTCTGAGCCATGTCACCAAGAGTCTCCAACCATTGGTTACGATAGTCACGCGGACCCCAACCAAGTAGTCTGCATCTACCAACATGGCTCAGACTAGAAGTTAGTGACTTCAAGCACTGATGCCACGTTTTGGTTTGGCCGCCCCTAACTTTCTTCCAACCAACCCCTACACCGGTTAGTATTGCACGTCGTGGTAATCGGTGTTCAGGCATACGTAATACGTGGCCCAACCATCTCAGTCGATGAAGATTCATAACCTCATCAACTGATTTACCATCATTCCCTAATACCCTGCGTCTAACCTCACTATTACTTACCCGGTGATCCCAGCAGATGCCAGCAATATTTCTAAGGCATCTGTGGTCAAATACTTGTAGCTTACGGGTGTCTTCTACTCTTAAAGGTCATGTTTCGCTGCCGTAAAGTAAGACAGAACGGACTGCCGCGCAGTAAACTCGTCCTTTAATTGATAGACGGATATCTCGCCTCCGCCACAGGTAACGTAAGTTGGCAAAAGCCAAACGAGCTTTTCGAATCCGTGCTGAGATTTCGTCAGACACCAACCCATTAGGGCTGATCAGACTTCCAAGATAAGTGAAGTTGTCGACGCGTTCGACTACTTCACTCCCTATCCTTAGTTCAGGTGTTGACGCAGACCAGTCCTGAAGCAACAACTTGCATTTAGAGGGAGAGAAGCGCATCCCAAACATTCTGGCATTGTTGCTTAGTGCTACCAGAAGACTCTGCATTTTGTCAGCGTCTTCACCAAACAGGACTATATCATCTGCGTATTCTAAGTCGATAAGTGGACCTCCTGGAAGGAGATCAATACCCGAGAATTCAGTCGACGAGAGTGTTATTTCCATCAATAGGTCTATGATGAAGTTAAACAGAAATGGAGAAAGTGGACAGCCTTGACGGACACCACTTGAAGTTGCAAAAGTAGATGACAGTTCGCCATAAGCCCTGACTCGACTAGTAGTGTTCGAGTAAAGAGCCTTCACAAGGTTTATGTACTTCTGAGGTACGCCTTTCAATGACAGACACTGCCACAGAGTCTCGCGGTCTACAGAGTCAAACGCTGCTTTTAAGTCAAGAAAGACCACCATCGTCGGACGCCGATAGGTATGCCTGTGTTCTAGAACCTGACGAATGGTGAATATGTGGTCGATGCAGCCACGACCAGGTCTAAAGCCAGCTTGGTTCTCTCGAGTTTGTAGTTCACGAGTCTTAGTTAGGCGTCTGATAATTATCGAGGCCAGTATTTTAGATACTATGTTTGTTAAACTAATCCCTCTGTGGTTGTCACAGGATGATTTTGACCCTTTCTTATATATTGGGACGATAAGTGATTGCGACCAGTCAGATGGGATAAAGTCTAATTCCCAGATCTTAGCTAAAATATTAGTCAACCTAATCGCTAAAATTGGACCACCATCCTTAAAGACCTCTGGAGCCAATCCATCTGGACCAGCTGCCCTTCCTCGTTTCAGATTAACTATAGCCTTTTGAACTTCAGCAAGAGTTGGGGGACCTACTTCAATGTTCCATTCACATTGTCTGGGAATGGAGGGTAGTTGTAGAGTAGCTGAAGGCCAGCTGAACTGTTCTCTAAAATGTTCCGCCCATCGTTCTAAACGTCTGGACTGGGAGCAGATGAGAGTATCATCTTTTTCCGAAATAATCTCACTTACACTTGACTTATTAATTCCAGTTTCTTTTATTAGTCTGTAAAGCTGTCTTGTGTTCCCTATAGTCGCCGCCTTTTCCATCTCTTTTGCTTTCGTTACCCACCACTGCTCACGGTCGTTTCTTAGACTTTTTCTTAACCTAGATCTGATTTGTTTTCGCTCTTCATCATGTTCAGAACCTGATGGGACGAGTTTGCGAGAATCCATCAGTGTGACAGACCTTGAAGAAATCCACTGGTTCCTTGCAACTCTGTGGTTTAAGTCACTAATAGATGTCACTGCTGTTTCCACAGCTGATTGTATGCTCTTCCAAGCAACATCTGGGTCAGCCTCGTCTTCACAACTACCTAAGTGTGACCTCAGTTGTTCCTGGAACCTACTTTTGGTTTTCTCGTTACTCAACTCAGTTCTAACGGGTCTTTTTAATGTGGCTTTTTTGCGTCCAGTGAGGCGCAAGCAGATGCGTGCCCGTATTAGGGCATGGTCGGAGTCCAAGCAGGTACTCCAGAATGAGCGACAATCTTGTACCGACCCTCTCCAACGATGATTGATGGCAATATGGTCTATTTGAGTCCATCGTTGGTTTGGTGTAGGGGGTCGCCATGTTAGACGATGTCTCTCCTTATGCTTAAAATTTGTATTTGCTAAAAATAAACGATTGTCTGAGCATAGCTGCAGCAGACGATCACCGTTATCTGTTCGCTGTGTCGGAATACTAAAATATCCACCTAAATGCCTTTCTGTTTGGTTTAAGCTACCTATCTGAGCATTAAAATCACCCGCTACGAGTACTATGTCTGAGCGTTTAGCTTTCTGAAGAAGTTCAGAAAGCTTTCTGTAAAATTCATCTTTTACTTCATCTGAGCTGCAGTCAGTGGGAGCGTAGACAGAAACGACAAAAAGGTAACGACGTGTGTCCCTATCCTTCCGAGTTCTTACGTAGCCGTTCAGCCGAACAGCACATAGACGACTGTTGACGGGGATCCACTCTAGCAGTGCTTGTTCGGCCCTCATGCTTAGTGCTATGCCTACACCTGCCAGTCCACGAGAACTGGCCATCGGGTCACCAGATACACGGAGGGTGTATCTCGTTGGCTCTCCGTTCTGCCGAGGTGAGGTCAAGTGAATGACCACACTGGGATCCTGTATGCGTGTTTCAGAGACACAGCATACATCAATGGAAAGAGACTCTAGGGTTTTAGCCAAGGAAGCCTGCTGACCGATTTGACATAGAGTGCGTACGTTGAAAGCTCCAATGTGTAGTTTGGAGCGAGGTTTCAGTAGACCTGGGACAGAGTTTTGAGCACTAGAATCGTTGGCTATGGTGACACTTGAGGAGGAAGCCGAAGGAGGAAGTTTAGGGTTGAAAGTCGATGTGGGAGGAATAATAGGAATTGAAGAGGAAGGTTGATTATGAATACAGTGGTCTTGGGTGCTGTTAGAGGTATGAGGGCGGCTATCACTTCCCGGTTGCCCACACCGTGGAAGGGTTCTTCTGGAGGTACCTGAAAAGGAAATCGGATTAGAGGTGGTCTCAGTGACCTGAGAGCGTGACCGCAGTGCCCAAGGGACAGCTGCTTGAGGCCGGTCGCGCACGGCCTTTTCGTGGAAGGTTTTCGACGTGTTAGCTCCGTTCTTCAAAGGGCCTTACCGCCGGAGACGGAAATCCGTGAGGTAAGGTGAGGTGTGCATTTTTAGGGTCGACCTTTTCTAACCCCACCCCTCCTTGTGGGAAGGCAGCATCGCTGTCATGCTGGTTGTCTGAAGGAAACACCTTACTGCTGTCACACCTCTGTACAGTCAGCAGTACGACTTCGCCTTCGGACCTTGGGTTTGTTGCTTTTAGTCTTACCGCTCTTCAACCGACCTGTCTGACATGGTAGGACCTTGAGGAACGGTTGTTCCAGTCAGTATAGCTCGGTTGCTTCATCACGATAGGCAAGCCCGACCACCACGTCAAGGTAGCAACAACGGTCGGGTATGTCAAATTCCCTTTTTATTGTGTAGAATTTCCTAAGCACGATACTTCATATGACTTTTCTCGAATTATAATAGGCATTGGGAACTAACTGTGTATACTGCAATATTCCAAATAAAAAATATATTATTAGGAATATTAGAATATATATGCAGAATTTACATGAGAACCTCTTAGCATTTACATGATTCGTTCCATAACACTTTTTGGTTTAAGATGAACTAATAAAATTGTTCCGATTTGGTCGAGTTATGCAATGAGATCCTGTTCTGTTAACACAAATCAAATACAAGCAAGTATTGATCATGAAGTTTATGGTCATTGATATGCTTATTGTTTTCACTTTTTAGACATCATTATTAAAACTGAACAACAACGAACCTCCTCATGTCTCATCATCAGTTATACTTAATTCTTCATCACTGTCATCTTCACCACCACTGTCATCCTCCTCTTGGTCAACACAACAACGAAAACAAGCTCATAAATCTAATTTTCACCGTCCAATACCTCAACCTTTACAATTAATTAATGAACCGAATTATCAAACACAACTTGGTATTAGCAGTCAATATTCACCAATTACACCGGCACCAATGAATATGTCTATGCACACATTAACAACAGAATGTGGAGGACCTACTACCACTACTATCTCATCGTCATCGGTAAACATAACAACAATAACCAACTGTATTAATGTTGATTCAAATCTATTTATTGCTGAACATCAACATCGTCCAGTAAATAATAATGTTGAATGCGACAATTCTCACAAGTCTTCATCGTCTATATGTTGTTTCGATGCTAATCGATTAGGTTTGGGAAATTTTCCCGATTCATTATTATTTCCTTCAATGTATAATAATAATAGTGGTAATCTAATCGTTACTGATAATACTAATACTAATAATAATTTTGTAGGAAAAATGTTTTCTCATATTGATTCATTCAATGTTAATAATAACAGTATAAAACCATCGGATATTTCTATGATTCCATCAATGAATCATACATTATTAAATCATGATCGTTTATTGAATATAACAACACAGAAAAGAAATTTATCAAAACATCAACATTATCAACAACAACAAATGAATAGTCAACAAAATCAACAACAACATCATCATCATCAATATCAACAATTGCCTGACCAACTTAATAATAGTAATTGTCATGATAAATTATATGAATCGAAAGGTAATTGTACCGTTTGTTATTCACAACATCATCTTTATCATCAAGTACAACAACAAAAACAACATTCAGAACCTAAACAATTGATTGATCATATTGAACAACATCAAAATCCATTAAATATTTGTCTTTTACCATCAACAACAACAACATCATTATCATCATCAGTTCAGTCATTACAATTAAGTGAGTTAATTGTACTGTTAGTATAGTATAATTCGATAATTTATACTACTTATTTGGTCTTATACATCTGTTACCTTTTTTTTTCATTACTTTTAATATGTGATTTATCTGAATAAATTTCTGTATAAGTAGACATGTATGATCTAATGGTACTCTGAAATAAGTGTTTGATTGTTCTGATTTGAAACATGAAACATGTGAATTGTTGTAAATGGATGTTTTGTTACTTATTCTCATTTGTAATTTGTATAATTTGTCAGATTATGATATATCTATCGACTAGACTTTTGATACTTGTATGATTATACCAAGGGATGAATATGTACTATTCACACCTTGTAAAGAGCCTGGAAAATGTATGATTTAGAGTGAGGAAATCAATACATGATATTAGTCCCTGAAGTCGTTGATTGTTGTTCTAAGTCGTATTAGTTGTTATAGACTACTATATTAGGGTCCACTTCATAACCAATTGCAATCACTAATTGGAATCGTTAGATGGCATAGGTCAGAATTAATTGTAGTAGTACAAATACATTCCGTTTTTCTGTCCCGTTGAATTTTGAGCTTCAAAATTATTTTCTGCTTTTTACTCCTTAATATGATTTCTCCTTTTCAAACTGTAGTTTTGGTACTTCCATTATTTCGATTCTTATGTTACTTATCTTATTAATTTCATCATGATCAGGACTAAAGGTCTAATACAAGGTCATTTATGGTCCGAATAGTTCAGCTTTAGTACCTAAAAACGTATTACTGAGTGCCGTGAATCCGTATCCGACTAGAATCCATCTGTTTTCTTAAGACTAAATGTACACATTACTTTCGGTTGCTGACTAACGTGAAACCTATTTTCAACGTTTTCTATCGATTTTCACTAACCCTCTCTTATCTCAAGAATAGTAGTGTGATAAATAACTCATCAACTTTATGCTTACTCAAATAACACATTTGTGTCCAACTCATGGTTTTTGAAGTGAAAATTAACTCTATTGTGCACTAATTTTATAATTGGAGCATTTTGTATGTTAACCAAATGATTTTAGGTGTAAATCATATGTCAATTTGATTGATTTACTGACGTGGAACTTTTTAATTTAACCACTCTGTGATGCGATTCTCTCATACAGGCAATGCTTTGAGAAAATTTGTGACCAAATGCTTATCAGTTTGCACACAATTCCCACTCTAAACAGGGATTTTGTGCATATTATAGAAATTTTAATAGTTTAGATCATGAGTTAATTGAAGCTAGACCACCATGGAAAAACCTGGAAGCATTGTACGGCCGTTTGGTCCTACTGTGGGATTCCTCAGCAGTGCTTATCCACGATCCCGCATCACGATATTTGAATCCAGGACCTAACCATTAAAAACAATTGGGATCTCATTTCAATACTCGCGTAACATTTTTGTTTTTCTTAGCATTCATGTCGAGATTTTCATTTTAAAATGGGTATTTTTCAATTGATATTTAATGTTTACCCAATGCATCGTTCTTCCATATATAAATTCGCTTAGATTATCTACTGACCATTTCGTAAAATGTTGTTTTTTCAGTAGGGATGGGGGGAAGACTTCAATGCATGTTTTAACGAATAATTTTAATTATACACAGTTATCTTTTGAAATAAAAAAAAATTGACATTATCTCACCATTATGTACTCATAGTGATGAATAGAATACATGAGGATTAAGTGTTTCTATTCCTGTTTGACATACTCCCCGTTTCCTTTTTTCAACAAAAAAAAAAGATTATTTACTAACATCATAGCATCTGTTCATTTCATCGAGTAGTTCAGTTCGATTTTATAATTTGTTCTGAATGAATCCCAATGAAAATAATGATAAGAAAATAGGAGAGAAAGAGAGAGAGAGAGAGCAAGAGAAAACTATTTACATTATTTCTAAAAAAATGTTTATTTTGAAGAAAAGATTTTTTTTCGCCACACTTTTTCTTAAAACTATAAAACTGCGTTTGGTCGTTTTAGGGAGTGAAACAGTCGAACCGCGTTGACAACTTCATTTATCTTGGAAGTGTAACCAGCACTAATAGGTTAGTGTCTGATAAAAACTTAGCACGGATTCGAAAAGCTCGTTTGGCTTTTGTCAACTTATGTCACCTATGGTGAAGGCGAAATATCCGTAATAGTGAGGGTATTAGGGAATAATGATAAATCAGTCGATGAGGTTGTGAATCTTCATCAACTGAGATGGTTGAGCCACGTGTTGCGTATGCCAGAACACTAATTACGACGATGCGTAGTGCTCACTAGTGTAGGGGATGGTTGGAATAAAGTTAGGGGTGGCCAAACCACAACGTGGGATCAGTGCTTGAAGTCACTAACTTCTCGTCTGAACCATCATAGTAGATACAGATTACTCGGTTGGGGTCCGCGTCACTATCGTAATCAGTGGTTGGAGACTTTGGATGACATGGCTCAGAATCGATCACAATGGCGTAGGTGTACACCACTGAATTAACTGCTTCTATGAATCCAGTGTTCATCTTGCTATGCTAACCGGAAATAACTATACATCATGCGATAAAAATCAAATAAAAAAATCTTTGACACCTAGAACTATGTTGCTGATTGGTCGTAGAGGTATGAGAACAGCGGGTAGATCAAATAATTTTTCTGCTCTCCTTTATCTATTACAGCTTTCTAGTAATCACTCTTACTAATGCTCGATATCAGACAACAAGAGTCTTGATTAATTCTGCCTTCCGTCCAACATTTTGTCTTTGCTACACTAAATCAAATAATTACAGACACTTGTAGTGAAATTTACATTCCAATATACATCCATCATTGTTTAAATGAAATGGAAACAAACTGTACTAAATTCAACATACATTTATTGAGTATTGAAAATGTTCCGAATAACCTCAACTCATAGTGTGCGCGCATACACACACATTGTTCCATTGGATTGATTGTATTATGCTGGAAAACAAATAAACTAAGTAACTTTAAATAAATCCGTCCAGAGTTTTAGTAATAATAATAATTAATAATAATAATAATAATAATAATAATAATAATAATCGAATACATTAGAAGTGACTGCTACGTAGATCCATATCTGTTGGATGCATATAGTTCAACGTAGAGTATAGTGTAAAATTCGGTTAACCAAATTCTCATACTACACTAGCACAACATGATAAAATTAATGTGATGAGTACCAAACAAGACGAATTACTAGTAATATCAACTACAATGTGAAAGACTAAACATTTCAGAATACAGTCCAAATAGAAGGGTGAAATTGAGGAATGAAAAGTACATAATAATTTTGAAGACTAAGATTTAGCATATGACGAAAAGTGAATACATCTGTAACCCCTGTAAGCGATTTTAAGCTATTCCATTCAACGTTTCCAGCCATTGATATTGGTTATCAGGACCTAAAGGGCACTCAAATCAAGGGTTAGCATCAGTTTATGATGTCAATAACTATTAGTCTGAATCATTTTGGTCGATACGGACTACCATTATGATGCTATTTACGTAAGCAGTGGCTGTAGACATTAGATAACATTGACTCACATTCGTTTTCAGTGAAACAGATACATTCACTCTTCGTTTACCGTTAGATCCTGATTTTCAAAATTGTCACGTACCTTTTTTGGGTTAATTTGTTCTTTATGTATATGTGTACTACTAGCGGTTACATCAAGTGATTATATTTAAACTTCTATCCTGTTGTTGTGAATAAGAACACAGGTCTGGGCGCCCAATTTATTGTTTAGTACAAAACTGCAGAATCTCTTGGTAAAATATAGGAGTACTTCATTTGCAGATCTCTCATCATTTGTTCTTCATATTCTGCATCAGTCACAATCCCTTTCTATTTCCGTTTCTGTGTTTTTTTAAAGTCGACCTTCATTGCCTTCTGCTGCCATTCATTCCCCTTCTAATTGGTGTTACATATTATTTATATCTGTCGACATAAATAGCATACACCACAGTGTAACTATTACCATAACATTTTTTTTAGTTTTCATTTCTTCACGATCTTCGCCGTTTTCTAGTTGGTTGTTATCACTTTTACACTGTTAATTTTTCCCATATTTCTCAAGGTCTTGTTTGTTTTTACTGTATTTATGGAGTACTACAATTTTGTTTTGCTAAGTTCTTGAATAGCAATATTTTTCTGCACTCCTATTCTCTTCCTGGGTTTCATCGTGTTTATGTTTCAATCAGTAGCCATACTTTCGTGTTGAGATGGGTTCAGGTTCTTGCAAAATGCAATCTTAATGGTTTGTAACGGGAAAATAACTATACACATAATAAAGTCCCTAGCTCTAAGATATAACATAAAATATATTACCTTAAGTTTTATAAATTAAGTTTCATGTTTAATACGTTTATTTTAAATTTAGACATTCCACCGTCAAGTTCATCATATTACCCTAATCGTCATCAATATCATGAACAAGGAAATGGTAATGATCATTTTAATAATAATAATAATAATAATACAAATTGTCGACGGAATACAGAACCATCGTCACATACTTGTGCTCAATATTCATATTATCAACCTGTCGCAAACTCATTAGGAAGCATGGATTTTACACGTCAATCCACACATGAATTTATTAATACTTCTACAGTGCATAATAACGATAGTATTTTTATACCTTCCACATGCATTTCATCACTGAATCCAAATTGTTGTTCTGTAATGAATATGACATTATCATCGTGTTGTAATTCATCAGCTAAAACAGTAGGTACAACAACTCCACTGTCTATTGCAACATCTTCAAATTTCATTCATGCAATAGGTGCAACTAATATTACTCATGGTTGTAGTAGTAATCAGTACTCATTATCAGTGAATGGAAATAATTGTTTTAATTTAAACCGAAATCGATTACAGTATAAACAACCGCTCCTTGGACCACCACTATCGTCCACACTGCATCTTGGACAAGAACACCTTTATTCTATTCCACCACCACCACATCATCATCATCACTACCACCATCATCAACAACAACCAACAAAGTATCCAATAATGTCATCCACCTCATCCTCGTCGAATCATGGGATTTATTCTTGTTTGGATAAAATTGATAATTGTCGCTTTTTCAATGGGTCAGAATTATTATTGCATAATCAACTTAATCATATGAATGGTTCTATACGAAATCATCACAATAATATAAGTAATAATAATACTAAAAATAATGTTAATAATAACGATCATAATTACAAACATTTATTCCGTTGTAATGAACAACCGGATTCATTTACAAAACGTACATCTAGAAGTCATTGCTGTTTAACCTGTTTAGAACTAGAAAGGAAACGACATATTTCTGCACCAGCAGTTAATAGTATTTCATCACAATCCTCTTGGCCATCATTATCGTTATCGTCCTCATCATCTTCATTATCTGTACCATTCTCATTATCGTCCCATAATTCATCAATTTCACCGTTAACCTGTCCTGGCAATCCACAGTCCCATTTACAACCATCAGCTTTAACGAGCCATAAAAATGAATTTGTGAATAAATCTTATTCCTGTCTACCGGAATATCATAATCATCATTATCGTGTTCATCATCATTATCATCATCGCGGTCATTATTGCAAAGGTACTAGTTCCAGTGAAGGAGTTGTTGGTGATCAACCATCAAGTGATGTCGTTGCCGAATTGTTAATGCAAAGGTCAGTTCTAGCCGTGTTTATTTGATAATTACTCTTACATTTCTCATTAGTTCTCCTGTAATTATAATAATTTACACCTATTTCTTGTATTCAATTATGACATCATCATCTCTCTCCCCCCACGCACACTCGTTCAATTATAAGTTCAACTCAAGTGAGTATAAAAAGTAATCGTAATTAGTGAACCAACTAAATGACTTTATGCAATGTTATGCGCTAAATTACATTTGTAAAACATGTTTTATTTATTTACACAAATCAATGTGTGAAAGATTTAGTGTGCTCTAAATGAAAAGAATCCCACTTCATCTCACTACAATATTTGTTTTTTTTCATATCACAAAAGTTTATTAATAAAAGGTAATTGTCTGAGATTGTTCAGTTGTTTTCTCATTCAACAATGCTTGCAAATTCATCTTATTGTTGTGATCATGTTATAATTTGTGACCGCCAATTAGAGAGCAGTGACTTATCGATCGGATCAATGACGCGTAAAACACGTGTGAGCAACCTAGAGTCCGATTGGCCCTGCTTTCCGCCTAGCCCAGCCAGTTAAGTCCAGAACACCAATCCGAGCCTCTGAGATATGAATCAATATATTTCAAACATACTGAGTTTATATACCAATCAAACGGACCACAACGTACCGATAAAATATGAAACAACATTTGTACAAGAATTAGCTAAATGTAGCTGTGAATAAGGGAGATAGTAATTAATATACTGGGTATAACTCAAGAGTGGTAAAACGTATAATAATAGTTTATAGGTCAAAATATAGCTTATAGTAAGAGGAATGTGAATATGCATAGTTTAGTTACTTAATAATTATACAATAAAAATATACGTTTAGTATTGGTCCATCAATAGATCCCAAAGTCTTGTCGGGAGATAAGAGATCATGAACTGATCAATATTTGACCATCATTGGAAACCCGAAAGCACTAGGCGGTCGTTTCGTTCTAGTATAACACTCCTCAGCAGTGAGCAGCTATGATCCCGCTCACGGGACTCGAACTCAAGATCTTCGGTTTTGTATGCGGACGCTTAACCTTTAGACCACTGTGTTAATGTCTAACTTCAACCAATCTACAATATTTTAGTATGTTTTCGTGTTAAATTTTATCTCTACATCCGTTGGTGTTAATGTATGTAATATTCTATGTGCAACTTCTCAACAGTGCATCTAGCTTCAATTGAGTCTATTGAAGCAAGACCACCATGGAAAGTCTGGAAGCACTAGATGGCCGTTTCGTCCTATTGTGGGACTCCTCAGCAGTGAGCACCCACGATCCCGCACCCCGCGAGATTCGAACCCCATGGCCTATCAGTCTCACGCCTAAGCTCTAGACCGCTGAGCTGGCATCCAACGGTTTTAATATCTAAATTCAACCAATCCACGAAATTGCGCAACCGTACACCATTGTCTTCAGGGAGCTGGTATCTCACAACAGACCTGGTTGGGCTCCACTGGTAACGGCTTCTCACTAGAACTCCAGGAAATGCCTCTTGAAGCCAGTCACTAGTGAGCAGATGATTATTATAAGAAGAGGTTTTGTGGAAATTCTAGAAATTTCAACAGTGTAATGGTTAGGTGCTCGCGCGCGAGACTTATAAGTCCTTGGTTCGAATCTCGCGGACGGCGGGATCGTGAGTGCGCACTACTGAGGAGTCCCATATTAGGACGAAACGGCGGTCCAGTGCTTCTAGGTTTTCCATAGTATAGCTTCAATTGGGTCATGGTTACAACTAGTGAAATATTCTATATGTTGATCAATTTATTTTATTGTTAAACATCGTAGTCTATTCAATCATCATATGTATGTATGTATACATTATATTATATAAAGCAAAATATTTCTCGTGCTTATTATATTAATTAAGTAGGAAAAATATCAGGTTATTTTTTTATGAAAATAATATATTAAATGAAAGTATTTTTCGTGTATTTTTCATATTGCTCGTTATGCTCTCTCTCTCTCTCATCCACTCACTGTCTATGAAGTACATAAACAAGCAGTTATTATCATAAATTATAAATTTGTATGGTGTAGCACAAGTTTATACCTATCTACTCGTTATTCTTCTATCATCAACTACATACATGAACTCAACTTGTGATTCCTTGGAATAATAGTCATAATGATCATTCAATGATGATTTTTTTTAAGGTTGAGTAGAGGGAAATCACAGTTAATCTTGTAAATTATTCTAGTGGTTATTTGTATTTGTTTGTTGACTTGTACACATTATCATTATTATTGTTCATTTTTAATTATTAAGTTAATTTCTTGTTAAATCTTGTTACTTGATATGATTTTTCTATCAACCTTCTCTTGGTTTGTATTGTCTATTCTTAACTAGACTACATTAAGTTTGTGTGTAGTGAATATAATTGAATGAACAGATTCATAACTCATATCTTATGTCTTTCTTTCTTTCTGTTCAGTGTAATTTCATCGATTCATTAAAAAAAAAGATCTGTACTCAGAACAGATCTATTTAAATTAGAATTCTTGTGAATATCAGTATCCAAGTTGTTCAAAGTTTAAGACATCCCGGGTAGTGTTCTGTAGCTTTCAAACATGGGTATTCATATTTCAGGGAGGAGTTCTGATTTCGAATGAAATATTTGGTCTATTTTCACATATCTGACTTGACTTTCTTCGTGTTTATTCTGTCCACTATTTTGACGTTTTCTTAGTTGAACCCATGATCATCGGACAAGTAATAATGAGGCTAGGAAATGATGGTAAATCAGTTGATGAGGTTGTGAATCTTCGACTGAGATGGTTGAGCCACGTGTTACGTATGCCTGAACACCGATTAACACGACACTCATTACTCACTAGTGTAGGGGATGGTTGGAATAAAGTTAGGGGTGGCCAAACCACAACATAGTGTCAGTCCTTGATGTCACTAACTTATAATGTGAGCCATGTGGATAGTAGACGCAGACTACTGGGTTGGGGTGCGCGTGGCTATCGTAATCAGTTGTTGGAGACTTTGGATGACATGGCTCAGAATCGAACTATGAGAATAAAATGGCTTTATATCTTTCTTTCTATAAATTACTTTTTTCTTCTTGTACTATATCCTTATGCACAACCTCTCTTTTATATATTACCACCACTGAATTAACTAATTCTATGGATTTGCTCTTTATGTTCTTGTGCTAATGAGTTATGGCAAGTTGTACCGATGCATATATGTGCCTAGTCCTACGTTGTAGTTGACTGACTGATGTCGTGTCGTTTAACAATTCACTTAGTGTTCATGTAGATGTAGATGTAGATGTTTAGATCGTTAGATACACTGCCAAAATAAACATCTAAACAACAACCATACAGTTATAGATAACAACTAATCAAATTTCAGGTCAATAAGACGGTGTTAATTGATTGTATTAGAGAAATTCTAATATATCACTTCTTTTTAATGTATATGCTTATGATTTTGTTCAGATGAATGGTGAAAACTTTACAAACAAACCAGTTACCTCGACATTCCTAACGTCCATTGGAAATAACTATACAGCATTTTTTTAAAATTCTCTCTTTTGTTATTGTAACTTTTTTTATATACAAGTTTTTTAAAACTCCGATTGGAGCCCCTCTTGGGCTACTGTCGGTCCCAAGGCCGGGTTGGGCATGGGGTTAGCCACCCCATCCTGTAGAAAACTAACTCGCTAAAAAAACGCCAAACTGCAAAAATAATTCAAATCATATTTAATTTTTAATGGTGAGTAGTGCTTATTATGTCCTTCACGAGAGCAACTTACTTTTTTTCCAGTTTCATATAATTATTTGAGGTAACAGTAGTTTACTCTCTATTACGATATGGTTAAGGAATATGATCTATGAAAGTAGTAGACATATAGATATTACAGTTTTTTATCATGATTGTTTTCAAAACACTAGCGGCTTACGGTAAGAAGATCGAGCTAGCTATTATAAAGTTAAACGTTTAGTTCCATGCAAGCATCATAAATTGGTGACTAAAAACGTGAATCTTTGTTAAATGAGGTGGCTGGGACATGTGCGACGTATGTCAAATAACCATTTCTACCTCAATGCCAAATGTTGGCTGGAGTAGCAATAGTTTGAAAATAATATATGGTCACCCAAGGCAAAATATGGGTTCAATCCATAAAACAATCGATTGTTCTTCCGGACCGTATTCGTAGCGTAGTTAGCGAAATCTCAGGTGGGGGAAATCAATTTATTGTTTAATTCAAAATTACAAATTACCTTCGTACTATATGAAAACCGTACATTATTTGCACATCTCCCTTCAGCTTTCCTGTACGTGCTTCATGATTCTTCCAATCTTGTTGTTATTGCAATTGCTATCTGTTTCCCTTCCTGTTCTCTTCAATTCAATCTTCTGCTGGCAAACTTCCTACTTTTGATTTATCCTATATACTAATTATATCTGTCAGCATAAGTAGCATCCACCACAGTAGGTTCAAAGTACTTGGCTAGAATCTCGGTAATACCTACAATCGATGGTTGGAAACGTTGGGTGATATGAAAAGATGTGTAATGGATAGCAGTGGTATCTAAGACGCTCGTTTTGTCCTATTTGGGACTCGTCAACTGGATATACCTGCATCTCAGAATTGATGTCCACTCCTGGACTCGAACCTAGTACTGTTCACTTCAAACGCCATCGCGTTATCCACTTAGCTACTGAGTCCTGACGGTCATTTGCTTGTGCAATAGGATGAAGTTTAAATTCACTTGGTATTGTTTACTTCTATCTTCTCATTGGATTTCACTGCTAGCCACTATCCATCTTTGCTTATAAGGCTTGCGACTTATCGAGGCAATACGCACAGTATGCACATATACCAATAGGACACTGATCAATTGCAGTCCTAAACATCAATGGGAAGATACAAGTAAACAATACCAAATGAGTTGGATGATATGGCTCAATATCAGTTACAATGGGTTAGGTGTATTCACTGTTTGTCTTGTGCTGATCTTAGTCTTCAACAATGTGCTTTCCATTTCTCAATTTCATCCCTTCTATCTAGACTGTATTTTGGTATGTTTAATCTTTCTCACCGTCATTATGTATTTGAACAAATTTTTCATAATTCTGCTCGTTATAATGTTTAAGTGTACGTCTGCACAATGTTGGGACCACATGATCACTTTCTATAATCTCAACTGATCGGGGTCATTTACAGAAGTGAAAAACAAATCAATTCATACTGTTTGTTTCTACACTTCAGTCAGTCAGTCAGCTTCAACGTAGGACCAGGCACATATGTGCATCGGTCCAGGTTGCCATACCGCATCAGTACAACAAGATGAACACCGGATTCATAGCAGTGGTTAGGTCAAAGGTAGTAATATGTAAGAGAAAGATTGCATATAGAGATATAGTACAAGAAGAAAGAATTGGTTCGTAGAAAGAAAGATATGAAGCGATTTTAATCTCTTAGTTTAAGGGAAGACAGGGAGTGTATACACCGACGCCATTGTGATCGATTCTGAGACATGTCACCAAGAGTCTCCAACCATTGGTTACGATAGTCACGCGGACCCCAACCAAGTAGTCTGCATCTACCAACATGGCTCAGACTAGAAGTTAGTGACTTCAAGCACTAATGCCACGTTTTGGTTTGGCCGCCCCTAACTTTCTTCCAACCATTTCCAATACCGGATAGCATTGCACTTCAATGAAGTTATTTCTTTTTTTCAGTAACAATAAACAACTCTGGGACGCAATATTTTATCTTGTTGATATGTTCTTAACATATTTTTTTCTTTTCTTAGAAATTAGCAGATTTTTTAATCAGTGGTTAACATTTTGCTACGTGATTATTTGACGTGAGCTCTAATTGTCTGCTTCAAATCTGATTGATTAATCATTGTTATTACTTTACCATTATTCAATGTTGATGTATTCATTTCATACTTTTGACTGATTATTTTCATTGCTTATTTTTGAAACAAAATTATTACAGACGTAGGTTGTTGAAATATAATACTTTACCGCTATAACACCGTTGTAGATTCAACTTTAGAACTTCGTTCTCAGACATTATGTTTGCTGTCTTTAGTTTCACCTTGCTCAAACTAATCTGCTTGGTTATGGTAGGAACTAAAAGCAAAATGTTTCACACTATGTAAATCAAGAAGGTCATCACGATATGCAAGCCCGAGCACCATCTCAGTTTATCAACTGTGATGAGGATTCTGTCGAAATTAGACAGTTACATTTTCATTTCCAGTCAGTTCATAATATAATATAACCATTATTACTAGTCTAAAGTTATCATGCTCATAGTGATACACATATTTTTTCATCTATATGTTTTTCGTCTTTAGCCACATTACCGATCCAGATGGATTATCATCGTTAACATGTGATATACATAATTCTTGTCCAACAACACCAGAACTATCGTTAACTCCTATCCCATCACCAGCACTAACACAACCACCACCACTGCCGTCGCAGCACCAAAAACCTTTATTAGTAGCAAGATCTACAGCAGAAACAGTTGACCAGTCATTCTCTATTTTAGAAGATGAATGTTTATACCGACCAATAAATATTATGAACAACATGTCAAGTATATTTCCAACTAATAAAATGACATGTATTCCATCATCGTCATCATCATTTCTAGTGCCATCATTATCACCGGCAACATCACCAGTATTACCATTTTCATTATCATCGATATCACAAGAAGAAACAACATCTTTCTTTTCATGTACTGATTCACATTTAATGACTAATTCATTTCGTTCCATGGATATAGAAGATTTAAGTATTGAACAACATCAACAACAGCACTTTCCGAAAGTACCAACTCATCATCATCATCATGAACAACAACATCAAAAATTGCCTATCAGTTTACATCTTCCAATTACTTCTTCATATTCAGTGTCCAATTTAAATCAGTCCGAGTTATTGGACCTGACTGTACCACCATCGATTACACAAAATAATGTTGTCAACTGTGATAATCACGATGAAATGATCAAAAAAACAACAAATCAGACAACATCCAATAATAATAATAAGTATCTTTGCGATTCAGGAAATGATTCGGTCGCAGCAAAACTTTCCAAATCATTAGCTGAAGATAATTTATTCCGTAATCCAACAGCATTACCGCCACCGAAAAAAATGAAAAGTAAACCAGCGCCTATTTCAATTCCCCCACAAGTAAGATGTTTTTTTCAATTTTATTTGCAAACTGATTTCAACCAGATAACCACTGAAAGCCAGAGGGCACTAAACATGTGTTTTGTCTCTATATGTTGCCCCTCAGGGTTGTTCATTCACAAACCCGTCAGGAATTGGACCAAGATCCCTTAGACCTCGTAGGGAACTCCTGGATTTCAGATCGCTGATCTGGCGTCAAGTAATTTGCACTTCTAACTCTAGTCGCTTGACAATATTAAGCTGACCTAGTGAACTGAAAACTAGGACTTGCAACGAGTCCTAGAGGTTCTTACTGCTGTTTCAGGTAGCCACAGGGGTGCTCACCGCTAGGTAGTTACATGCTGGAATGAGGCAAATATCCAGTGTTTCTAGTAGTAATGGTTGTTTAGTTAAAGTCATCCTTGCCCGAACGACCATAAACATTTATTGATGAAAATGAAAATAATTATGTGTTGTGAGTAATTGTGGGACTATCAATTTGTTGATACTGACTTTAGACATAAAAGCTTGTCAGATAAAAGAGTTAGTGAAGGTGATTTATAGCTACGATGAATGATTTTGAGGCACTTGCGTGTTCTGCTGTAGATGATACAGCCATGAAGCCCTCACAGCTCTTCTGAACATCAACATCTGCACTAACTTCAGGTAGGACTGAGAAATTCCACTTTCTACACATATAACTTACATCTTATCCTGTGGATCTTGATTGTTTATCGATGACCTTTATTCTTATTCTAGATTCTGGCCTTCTTGATTGATATTTTCTGTAGGTCGAGAGTCATTTTCAGTATAGGGATTTGTGGTAATTGTCAAGTGTTACTGAAGCCAATTTTCTCAACGAACCCTTGTATTGATATTTATCATATTCTATCTGATGGATACGTATTTCTTGGAGTTCTGTTGCGAAGCAGTGACTAGTGGAGTCCAACTGTATCGCGTGTGAGGCAGATAGATGTACAGTATTATGATTTGGTTGATAAAGTTAGACATGTACACTATTTGGTGCGGATTCAGTAGTCCGAAGGTTAAGTTTGTACATAAAATTAGTGGTATTTATAGTAATTCAGATGATCTTGGGCCTCTGGAAGTTTCTAGAACCCCACTAGACATAACGGCAGGATAGGTAATTCTTCAATCAGAAATGTGACACGTATCTCTTCACTTGCTAGATGTTTTGTGAAACTTCTATTTAAGGCTGATTGGATATAACGTTCTCAGGGTCCCTCTGAACTTTTTCGAGGGATACCTAATATTTCATTAGTAAAAGCTTATAAATGTATGAGTTGCGTTGATACACTTCACTTACCGTTTGTTTCATATGTCGACCATTCCAAAATATTCATCCGGTCGGTCGCGTGTCTTCACTCCAGGCTTTTCTGTTGTAGGAGTAAGCTGGAAGAAAGTGCAGAGATACAAACTGTCTTGTTGCTATCCATGCTATAACTTCAATCAGTGGCTAAGGAAGTTGAATGATATAAGTCACAAACAACCCGATTAGCTCAGAAGCATTCATTCTTCGTCGTGCTCTAGATTTTCAGTTCCTGTATTCCGTCTCATTTATTTTTTGATCTATGTTCTCGTTGCTGAATACTTCTAATTATGATTTATAATACATAATTTTCATCCCTTTTGTTATTCGTCTTGTTGTGCTAATGTGTAGTATGGTAACATGAACCAATGCACATATATCATAATTTCTATTGTTCAATAGTTCTAAACTAGAACATCACGTTCTGGCACAGATTTGACCGAGTCACATAGTTTATGGTGATTATATTCTTTGAATGAATAGGAATATTTTCTTAATTTTCATTTTAATATAATATGCAACGTATATACAAATTAGTATAGTAATTTAATTAGGATGTTAATTAATCAATTAAATATTTAGTCGATTACTAAACATTGGGTCACAGTTTCAAATGCCGTTTCATCTAATTACATTCAGGTTACTGACTAATATCTATTTAACACTGTTAGAAAGTGGTAATGACAAATCAAGAAACCTTTAGACCTGAATTGACAGACTGTCCATCAGTTACCAGATGCATCTGGTGTTTACAAAACGTTAGCATGCTCCAGCCAATAGGCTTCTCGGTCCTTACGCAAGCTTTGCACAATTTCACTACGTAACAATCCTCGTTTATTGTAAAACTTGAAACAGAAGCTACAGCCAGTTTGCTTACATCGATCTGTTTAAGGCGATGTCTTTGTTAAGCACTGAAACTTCAGATAACGTATTATGTTTTTATCAGTTAACTGATGAAAACCCACAGTTCATTAGAATGAAGGTTAGCATTTATTCTTTCTGAATTGTAAGAACGTCGATTTCTAAGTGGATTAAACATTTTTCAAATTCAAGAATAAAACATCTCATTAGTTTTTTGGTTAGTAACGATTGAACTATATAACTTTAATTTCAATGTGATTATTTTCTGTAGACCGGTGCAAATTTGTCAAGATTACGTTCTCCACGTGTATGGAGTTCAAAACGATCTTCGCTTAATTCTAGTCCTCCACCATATACACCACCTCCAATGCTTAGTCCAATCCGTCAAGGTTCCGGTTTGTTTTCTTCATTATCGCGATGGGTGCCAACTCCAACAGCAGTATCAGGGGGAGGAGCATCAGTGACGACGTCGACAGGAACTCGTTCTGTCGGGAGCGGTACACTGATGAATCGTCGATTCTCAAGTTATTATTCATCGATCTCCCATCATAATGACTCAGAAATTACTACTATTCCTAATACTTCTACTATGTGTGCCACTGGCAGTGGGGTCAATAGTGGTGGTCAGTTGAAACGACGTCATGCAAGCAGCAGTGGTACTAGGATTAATACCAGTGAGATTAGCACTTCAAATCAGAGTATTAATATGGTAGATCCTGGTAATAATATATTTACTGACCCTACTAATACTACTACTACTAATAATAGTTATGACAATAACAACGTAAATACAGGCTCAATCACTGACTTGTATATGCGTGATGTAAATCGACCAATAGCCTATACACGTAGACGACGTCAACAACTCACACCAAAGTCCGCTCCTGTGTTATTTCTTAACTGTAATACGACAAAAAATTCGGTAAGTTCTTTTTACAATTTTCATCTTTGGTTCCAATGTACTTTTGCATACAACATTTGGTGGTCAATTTCTGTCGAAACTGCTCATCAATTTCATTACTTATTATTGTACTGAACTACGCATGTATGTGTCTGAAACTCATATGAAGGTGAAGCTTTGTTTATAAATACTACAGTAACTTAATCTTAAATCTTTCTACATTCACCACTTCCGAAATTCGTACTATTTTTATTTCTTTGTAATTTGGTACATGAAATCTGGTACAACTGAACATTAAGAATTTCATGCACCCGATAAAATAAAGAGATCAGATTGTGAAACATTAGATGGGGTAAAGGCAATGCAACAAAATAAAAGAATAAATAAACAATTATAGTGTATAGTAGAAGATACATTTCTTTTATATATACATCCTACAGGGATTCCTATCGATTTATTTAGTCCCTCTCACCTTAATGAAGATTGTAAGAGAAAGCTGAAGTAGGATCGCCATTGTCTACTATTCTGAATCATGTTTGATGACATCAGAAGTCATTGAGTCGTACCATATCTAGGAACACGAATTTCATGTCATAAGATCATCACTTTTCCACCTAGTTCCAGCTTGAGGAAACGATGGACAATGTGAAATTTTCCGAGATGATGTTCGTATATTCATCTAAGCCATCAAGGCCGGATTTTCAAGATGATATTTTGAGATATCTTTGTGATGGGTACGTGTAGGTCTGTTATTTGGCGAAACAAACTTTTTAATCTTGAATAAGCGATTGAAATCTTTACTATCCGTTGCATCATAGTGATATTTCCATTCAATTAGTTGACGATAAGCATCTGTTAGTATGAAATGGAGTGTTAAATATTTGTATAAAACAGAATTCGTTCTCACTTTCACATTCAGCAGTCAGGACGTTCAGGTCTTTAGGTAGTCGTTTGGCAAATAACATTAATCTTCGTCCAGTGAAAGATACACGACTTCTGTTAATGTTGAATTAATTTTATCTCTGCTGTTACATTGTTCTAATCATAAAAAGTGCGATAACCAACGCTTTTATGATGAATAATTTCTCTCTATGCTTATGAAACCGTAAATCTGAGAATTTCCCGTAACCAAACATGTTCGTATAGCATTGTCTAAAGAGAATTCTTCGATTACTGAAAACTTTAAAGGTCGTGAGTTCGGTTCCTTAGATGGATATTTCTTCGGAGTTCACAGTAAAGACTCCTTGGTTTTCGATTTTTCCTCAGCTTACGTGTCGATTCTTGATGAACAGTCAACATTATCATAAATGCACACACACACACACACACCAACGTAAGGTATTATTTGAAAGTTGTTCTTTACTCGATCATGTCTCAAAATATCGATTAGACATTGTAACTTTTTATTTCTAGAATATGGATAAGACAAGTTCATCGCTCACTCCTTTTGTAGCTAGTTCTGATGTCTACTCCAAACATCTTTGTATGTTTATCTTTCTATGCGTTATCTACCTATTTGCCTATCTAATAGCTGTATCTCCATCTGTTTATGTACCTATCAATTGATTATCTATTTGGCTATGTGCGTGTCTGTTCTGTTTTTTGAGTTGTATGACATCTGCGGGATAAAAATATGTTTAAATTCAATCAATTCACGATATTGCGCGATCATCTCCCAGTACCTTCAGTGGTTGACTGTTTCACACCCAATTTGGTTGAACTCCACCGGTTACGACTTCTCTCTAGATTTCCAGGAACCGCGTCTTCAAGCTAGTCACTAATGAAAATAAGATTATTATCAATAGACATTTTATTGGAGATTTTAGGATTTTCATCATTTTAATGAGTAGAGTTCAGCTATGTCGGGTCCTATACAGTTAGTCAACTCATCGAGTGGAAGATGATGGTCTCGCAATATCATGAGTTGATTGAAGTTATACAGCTCATTGATCTAGAGGTTAAACGTTCACCCTCGAGACCGTTGGTCCTGGGTTCGGTTTTTTATTATGAGGTCGTAAATATGCACGTACTGCAACGAAACATCTGTTTTATATTTTCCGGTTTTCAATGATGATCTAAGACTAACTCGTAGTTTAAATTGGAAATTTCACAATCTTCATAAATACTGTTATTAATTTCAATAGTTGAGATCACGAGTCAATTGAAACTAGACCACTATGAAAAATCTAGAAGCACTGCATGTCCGTTTCGTCCTATTGTGGAACTCCTTAACAATGAGCATCCACGATCTCACCTCACGAGATTCGAATCCAGGACCTATCGATCTCGTGCGACTCATGAACTCAATTATTGAAATTACTATAACATCCACAAAAACCCCTTCTGATATTATTCATTTGTTTAAAATTTCCTTATATTAAAAGAGTATTCTTTTGCTGAAACAATATATATATGGTTTGGAAAGAGTTCTTGTTAGTTATCGAATGAAATATCTTTCATATCTGTCGTCTACTAGTTTTTTGTGTGTGTATATACATGTATAACTCCATCTTGTATTTATTGGACCGTATAAATTATAAATCATTAATTGACATGTAATTTACCTATGAATTAATTTAGTGTTGTTATTTGATTACATGTTCAAGTTGTCGGTTTATTCAATCTTATTGTTGTTGTTATTGTTGATATATACTTATCGTCTACTTAGATATTATTCCCTTTAGTTACATTCACTATGTTTTTTTCCGAGTATAATCACATTTAATAGAGATTAGTTAAACACAGAATCAAGGATCAAAGATCTCATTGGCGATGACAAATTTTTTTTGTAGAGCATTCAGAAAATAATATTTGGATGCAAAGATGAATGATGGAACCCGGGACGCACGTTTCGTCGTATATAAGACTTGTCATCTGGATGTACCTGCATCTTGGAGTTGATGTTCACGCTGGGACTCGAACCCAGTACCATTCTCTTCAAACGCTATCACGTTATTCACTCAGATACTGAGTCCTGATAGCCACTTACTTGTGTAATGGGGTGAATTTAAATTCACTTGGTATTGTTTTGTTTATATCTTCCCATTGTTGTTTAGGACTGCAATTGATCAGTCTCTTATTGGCATATGTGCATTCTACAACTCACTGGTCGTGTGTTGAATGCTTAGACCAATTCACAACGGTTCTATTGTTTGGTGTCAACACACTAAAGAAGTTTTTAGATTAAATTAAAGGCTTATCAACAGAATCGTGTATAAATAGTCTAAAAAAGAATACATAAACAATTGGTACCTTTTAAACTGATACTTACTCTAATATTAAGTGTATCCTATTCTATGATTGAAGTTAAAAATGTAAAACCTAGGATTCTAGACCACTAAACTAACGTATGTTGTACTCATTGTGAGAACTAAGTCTTCCTGATTTCATGATGGCTATAAGGTCATGAATGCATACCAATTAAGCAGTAAAACTATACTTCAACGACGAACCAATCAGATTCAATGTTGTTATTGTTTGAGTTTGCAGGAAATTCGAATGAAAGCTGGCATGTAACTGATTGAAAGCTTTTGAAAACGTACTTATATTCATGCATTGACGCACTTATGATTGATAAATATATCTGTTGTTCCACTGTATAGTGAATATGATATGGTGTGAAGGCTAAGTTATAAGAAATACCTGATTCGGATGCAGGTTGTATCTACAATCTTAAATACATGTCGGTCGCACATTGTATGATATAGGACACAGTTAAATGTATTTACGGTACGATATCTCAAGGTCCCGTGTACGTCATAAATTCATCAATACATAAAAACCAACTTTAATCTTTCGGAATTTTTCCGGTTTTTTTTTAATGACAAATTATACTCTAACTTCATTTACATTCTGATTGTGTAATAAAAGTAAAATTTCACTAGCCAATTTAACGATCACTCAAGTTTGTCGCTAACGTATAGTTACATTGCCTAAGATTTACATACCATAACAAAATAATAACTAAATACACTCGTTCTCTTGAGTTTTCAATGGTCTCTTCAATTGTATGATGAACTCGTTATGAAAACTGATAAATTTTTTCTTAAAACTATTTCATTCATGATTGTTTTCTTCTCTTCACTGTAGGCAAATCAATCAAGAGATCTTCAAGACAATGAGTTATCACTTCAATCTCAACAACAATTCTCTAACACTGATACCGTATTTGGTTATGATGATGAGACTATGCGCCGTTTTGCGGAAGCCGATGAAGCTTACCGGTTAAATAGACAAAAACATCAAGATAAACGCTATTCACGTCGTCGACATGATACTGAGATAAATGCATCTAATGATCAAATCAATCACCATACTACTCCTACTCCTACCGATGATGATAATAATAACAGTAATGAATCAATTCTCAATAAAACTGATCACAGTTTCAACTTTGCTGATGAACAGTTGTTAAATTTTGATATTGAAATGAAAATTAAAGAGACAAACTATTCTGAAACAACAATACAATTTAATAGCGATGTTGAATTAGACTCGGATCATGAAATGGAGGATGAAGAGGATGATGACGATGAAGAAGGTGTTCCAACTAGTATTATTCCGTGAGTATTTCTGTATTTTAAGTTTTATATTTTCTACACAAATAATCGAGATTGATAAAGTGTGATGGCTTAGGTGGTCAAAGCATTCGACTTTTCATCATGGTATCCTAGGTTCAATTCCTGTTTCACCCACTTTAATTTGAACACTCATGTTGCAGGTCTGTGTAAATTTGCTATTTCCTGCTTCCCATACTGCAGAAGGATACACATTATAGACGATCTGTGAAGAAGACTGAGTCAGGGCTGCAGTTGACGACCAGAAGTGTCGCTGCAGCGTTCGTGGAATAACTGTCTAGAGCCAGTCGCATACGGCCATTTCGTGAAGACTTTTAGGTGCATTAGCTCCTTACATTTAAAACTTTACCGCCAACAATGGAACCCTATAGGAAAAAGGTGAGGTACTCTATTTTTAGACCCAACCTTTACTAACGATCTCATTGTTGAAATATAGAATCGCTGTGGATGCTGGTTGTCCAAAGGAAATAAATACCTTGCTAACATCACATTCGTGTACAGTCGCCAGTACAACTTCACCCTCGAACCATGAGTTTACTTCTTTTAGTATTACCGCTATCCAGCCAACTTACCTGGTATAATAAGACATACACAAACAAGTATTTTAGTCAATATAATTCATTTAGATTATTATCAACTTAAGCAAGCCTGACCACCGCAAGTAAGTGACATCTATGATTGGCAACTTTAAGTCATGGTTAGCCAGATCATCACGACGAATTTTCTTTATATTTTTAACTAACGTATTTATTAAGAAGAGATGAAAGGAGAAGAAATATGAGATGGAGACATCTACCTGTTGATTGTTTTTTATACTTTTCTGATGAACATTGTTTATTAATTAGTCGTTTTATGGTGAACTTATGTAAATGTAATTGTTAGCATTCTTTCGGTCCATTTATTTTTTGTATGTCTTCAAATAGTCATTTACTTAAACATCTGTAGCCCAGTTCTTTATCAACATATCTTTGTTATTTACTGACTAAGATTTCGTATTTATGGTACACTCTGGTCTTGTATAATCAAGTGAATCATGACATTAAGTTTTAAATGTCATATGGACACATAGATGGTTGTAAGCAGCAGGTGAGAAATCAAGAAACATGATAAATTCACATTATTCTGCTTCAATTATTATTCTGACTTTATTCAGATTGTTCAGTGTTCTGATGGAATGTTCGTTCAGAATCCAGGAGCCCATGTGCACCATTGGTTTGAAATCAGGGTTTTCCAACTCCCCAAGGTGGATGCTCCATATCCCCTAACCTAGGTAAAGCGCCGGACATTCACTTTTCATCCTCTCGATTTTGTAAACAACAGCCCTGCCACGAAAAGACAGTGAGTAGGAATTCCCTGACAGTCGCTGTATATGCGTAGCCATGTGAGATCATCTCGAGAGGGAGAGCGGACTCTCCCCACCATGGACCGTACCAAGGCGTTTGGGGGCATCTACGTTATTAGCAATAGTTGATGTCTAATAGTGATTTTCAAAAAAAGCAAAGGTCGCACGGAACTATGAATTGGGATTAATGTTATCGCGATTAGGGTTACAAGAAAGAATATTTAGATTGTTTTAGTAAGAACCCGATAATTCTAGGTCTTCCTAGCGATAGAATGTCAGCTATTGAAGAAATGAGAAAAAAACTTCATATTTCTCAATTAACATTTACCTAATATAATGTGTATATTTTAATTCTTCAGTAGATATGAAATTCAAATTAGTAGCCAAAATACAGGTTCGTGACAACATTGTGTAAACCGTAAGTATGATATTCATATTACCACGTAAGTATACAACTGAGGAAAGTTATATTGAATGGAACTACAAGAATCCTATCAAGTGCGTTTATGTAGTCAATGTGTTCAAGATTAGTCGTTCAGTTATAGTGTGCGTCACGAAATGATCTTATTAAAACAACCAGTGAAAACCAGGAAGTACTCGACATATACTTCATCCTAGTATAGAACTGCATGCCGATGCACATTTGCTACTTCATCAAAGATCGAACGTCGAACCTAGCAGGAAATCATTTATTTTCGGAATTCTGAGCTGACATCTATTAGTTTACACGTCTAACTTCAGTGATTTCACGACTTTGTGTAATTATCATTTAATATACCATTAGTATATAACTGAATGATACACGAAGAGGTCAAACTTCACTTGTCACAGCTTTTCGTTTAAACTCCAGGAAATACATCACAACTTACCGAGCATATTATTATAATTGGTATTAGAGGTTTGTAATGTAAACCTTAAAATTCTACAATCTTATTAAGACCTCTTATACTGATAGTTGTATATTTGTTTATTTGATTACGACTTTTGATTTCTTTGCTTTTATTTCTGTATTTTTAAGGCATATCAATGTTGGTCACGCTTATCAAGCAGAAATTCCTGATTTTTGTCAAGGTAAATAATACTTAAAGAAATTAAATGCTACGTAACTCAGTCCAATTGTCATTGGCTTCATGAACTGATCTTATATTTTGTTTTGGTCACCGCCCTCTCTAGCTCACTCTTACACCAAACAAAATCGCGCGTTTCAATAGGCGGTGGTTGTCCCAAAATACACAAACAGTGCTTTGAAGACACATGTTATCAAAAACTAGTAACTTAATAATATCTTGTATTCTTAATAGGCATGTTTCACACCCATAAAGCAGGACCGAGCGAACTGCTATGCAGTTAACTCGTTTTTTGGTTTGAAGACGGATATCTCGACTACGCTACAAGCGACTTAAGTTTGCCAAAACTAATCAAGCCTTCTAAATCTATGCCTAAATTTCATCAGGCACCAAACCACCAGGACTGATGAGACTCCTGATGTAAATGAAGAGGTCGATAAATTCAATTACTTCATTCCCTATCTTTAGTTAAGGCGTTGACACAGGGCAATCCTGAAGTGACAATTTAACACTTGTAGGAAAAGATTTGCATACCGAAGTTGCTTAAGACTATCAGAAGTCTCTGCATTTCATCAGCAACTTCACCAAAAACGACTATATCATCTGCGCATTTTAAGTTAATAAGTTAATCTGCTGGTGAAAGATTAACTCCTAAAAATTTATCTGATCAAAGTACTATCTGTAAAGGCATGTCTATAGCAAAGTTAAATAAAAATAGAGAAAGCGGAAAACCTGGATGAACACCACTTGAATTGATTGATTCTGATGACAGTTCACTATAAACTCTGATCCGACCAGTAGCGTTCGAATAAAAGATCTGTACAAGGTTAATGCACTTCTTTGGTATGTCTTTCAATAACAGACACTTCCGCAAAACCTCATGAACAATAGAGTCAAACCCTGCCTTAAGGTCAATTAATGTAACTTCGAAAAGTATGGCTATGTTCCAGCACCTATCAAATGGTGAATATTTGGTCTATATGTCCGCATCCAGGTCTGAAACTAGCCTGGTTTCCTCGGGTTCGCTCTTCGTTCACTCTAGTTAGACGTTGAGATTTTATTAAGAGTAATATATTAGACGGTACTTTAGATAAACTAATTCCTCTTTGATTGTCACAAACGGATTTTGGCCCTTTCTTTTAAAATGGGATGATCAATGATGGGAAGTGGACAACAGACAATGAGTTCGAACCGGAAACTTGATAACTGGAATGACTAAACATTATTTCCATAATTTTCACTGAATTGTTATAATGTATTATAGTACGTTCAGTCATTTTCATCAAAATTTATCTTTTTCATTAAAAAAAGAACATATTACTGAATCGAATTGTTAAATTTTTTTTTATTCCCTGCTCTTATGATTAACAAAAACATTAGAAATTACATCAGATGAAACCAACAAAGAATCACCATCCAACTGGGAAATGTTACTCTGGTATCCAGCTTATCTTGATGAACATGATCCTAAGAATATAGAGTCATGTAAGTTCCTTTTCTTTTGTTTTCTGGCATCACTAATATACAATTAGTTAAGTGTTGAGTAGTGTTTCTTTTCTTCTTCAGAATTCAACTAAAGTTATCGATTAGTAATTATGTATAATTTCCCATTTTTCTCTTCTACCCCATATACTAAATCTCATTATTGTTCAATCTATTATTTTACTGTACTTGAGATCAAACTGATTAAGGCCTATAGTCTATGCATCTTTCACAGTGGAGAAGTAATAAAGTTTTAAAAGAAACAATCCACGAAAAACAACCATAATATCATTTAATCACTAGGCCCTACATAACCTTTTAAAATACATATACATTGGTACAAGGAGGCACTAAATATATATGCGCCACATAAATCATTCGATTTATGTGAGGGCTATGATACTGCCTGGGTGCCCAGACCGAAGCAGGCGGTTTACTTACGAGGCCATACCCGGAGCCTTTGACCTAAAGGTCTGATCCACAAGACAGTGGAGCAACGTCAGGAGATGCAGTGTCATGATACGCCATTTATTCCCTCAGGATAGTGGAGCCCATGTGTACCATTGATTTGGAATCAGAGTTTTCCAACTCCCCTAGGTGAACTGTCCGTGTCCACCAACCCGGTTAAGGCACCGGACATTTGCTTTTCACCATCTCAATTTCGTTAACAACAATAATGCCACGAGTGATTGTGTTTGCATACACGTGGCCATTTGGGAGCATTTGGAGAGGGAGAGCTGACTCTCCCCACTCCCGGCCGTACCAGGGCATTTGGGGGCACTACATAATAAAGATAACTTAATACCTTTAATGTATGTATGAACTAGTTTAAATAAATTCCCTTCCTTATTCAATAGCCAGAAATATTACTATTAGATTATTTAAGGTTGTAGTAAGCAAATCTCTTGTTTAATATTGAAGTATTACCACTAAATATTATGTATAAAGAACAATTGATTTCGATTATCTCGTGATCTTCTCATCTATATAAGTTCTATACAGAGTTTGTCAACAAATTATGATTATGATTATGGACATTTCCAGTTTTATTTATTTATTTGAACACATATATATTGGTACAAGAGTGCGCCAAACATATATGCGCCACACAAATCTCATTCGATATATGTGAGGGCTGACATACTGCATGGGTGCCCAAACCGAAGCAGGTGGTTATCTTAGGGGGCCACACCCCGAGCCTTTGACCTGACGGTCTGATCCACAAGGCAGTGGAGCATCGTAAGGAGATGCAGTCCCATGGTAGCCGGTGACCGAAAATTGGTTCATACGCCATTTGTTCCCACAGGATACTGGTGCCCATGTGCACCATTGGTTTGGAATCCGGTTAAAGCGCCGGACATTTGCTTTTCGTCCTCTCATTTTCGTAAACAACAGTAATGCCACAAGAAGGCAGTGAGTAGGACTTCCCTGGCAGAGGCTGTATACGCGCGGCCGTGTGAGAGTATTTCGAGGGAGGGCGAACCCACCCCGCTCTCGGCCATACCAGGGCGTTTGGTAAAATAATGACATCAAATGACATTGTTATTATATAATCGTATGTTATGAGTTGACTCCACAATTGCTACTCACAAAACTGAATTATTTACTATTATTAAAAGAAATCACTTATAGTCAACAGAATATAAAGTATAAACGATTGGGAAATTTCAATCTTATCATGGGTCACTCATTATCCTCAAAGAAATGAACATCTAGATCGTAGGTGATTAAAAACATTCATCAGAAAAACCTAGATCTCAGTTTAATTCTAATCGAAAATCGTTAACAAGTTCTATCTACAATCTTTATAGGATTGATATTTCCTAGCGAGATTCAAGCTCACATTGTCCAATTTCACAATCTAAGACGTTACTATTTAGCTATTTGGATCGTGATTGACATTTTATAGGATCTGATATATTTATAACTGATTAATTAGTGTATAGAAGCCTATGTCGTATTTGTTTATAAATCACATTGTATCGTCGTTGCATCTGCATTACAACCTATAGTAGTGTATCGTTTATTTAGTCAATAACATATATAGCCTTTGACCATTATACCAAAGTACTAGAATCTTGTAACATATCTATTGAATACATTCTTCTATTTTGTATTTTGTTTACATTTTGTTCTTCTTTCCTCCCCCCCCACTCACCATATTTTTGTTGTTACTACCACTGTTTGTTTGTTTTGTTTTTTTTCCAAAAAAATTATTTTATTAGTAAATTTACTGACAAAAATTGCCTGTTCACCAGCTGTACGTAATTGTGGATTAAATATGGAATATACATTTCATTTATTATGTAAATATAAAGGTGATGTAGAAATGACATTACATGCTTTATTACGTGATACATTAGTTGTATATGATTATGTTTATGCTGGTAAGTTCTTATTGTTATCTCTATTAAATGTGTGTGTGTTTGTGTTTTATTAATTATGTAATGGATTTGACTTGTATGTTCTCATTTCATAGATTATCGAGTTCATTATAATGAGTTTACTCCATTCTAGTAATAATAATGACCTGTTTAACTAATGATATAATAATGATTTATTTTGTATTGGTTATTTGAATCTTCTGGTTATTATTTAAGACTGTAAATGATCAATCTCTTATTGGTATATGTGCATCTTGTATGAATTGCGTCGATATTGCATTATAAACAGAAATGGACGATGGCTAGTAGTAGAATCTAGGACGGGCGTTTCGTCCTATTTAGGACTGTTCAGCTGGATATACATGCACCTCAGAGTTGATGTTCAGTCCGGGACTCGAACTCAGTACCGTTCCACTTCAAACCCCACCACATTATCCACATTAATGAATAATAATAACGACTGGGTATCTTAATGCGTATTGGTTCATGCCAATTTTTCTATTCCCCAATACTTTATTACAACATAAGAACTGTTAACCGGTTTGCCTATTATTATCATTATGACTTAAAAGATTACATGAATTAGACGGCCATAAACCACTTCAAACAGGAAATCACAATTTCTATACAAGTTGGTCGTATGCCGTACAAAACTGAGTAATAGGGGTATAATTAAATGCGTGGGGGGGGGAGGAGGAGGAATATGAAAACACCGTAAACTAAATACTCATAAATTACATAATAAAAATCCAAATAATAATTCTTCGTAGAATAGTCCTAGAAATTTCATCTTTCCCAATTATTCGCTTCGATCTAACAGTTGTAACGTATGATAAAAGTAGGAAGAAGTGAAAATAAATATGATACCGTTGAACTGTATTATTCTTTAATCAATTGGTTTCGTAACTGGTTTGATGCATATTTACCAAACAGTTTAGTTCACGCTATTTATTTTTCATTTAACTTTAATTGTAAACTCTTTATTTGGATCACTGTTTATGAACAACGGGTCTGTGTTTATACTCGTGAATACAAACTACTGACGAATAATCTAAATATTCCAGGCCGAAGCATGTATTAAGTTGTCTTCGATTTTCAGTAGTTTCATTATATAATCTTTTATTTTCATACTATGTAATATATCCTCCTGGTTTTATAGAAACTACGGCTTGGACAACTGAAGAGATTGTACGCTTTCAGCAAGGTTTAGCTATGCATGGAAGAGATTTTCATCAAGTTTCAAAGGATTTACAAGCAGCTGGAATGAATAAAACAGTTAAAGCATGTGTAGAATTCTACTATGTATGGAAACGAATGAATACACCATCTGATGTTAAATGGTATGGTATATAGATCATTATTATCATTACTATAATTAATATTTTTATGATCATTAGTAGTATAACTATGGTTATTTTTCTATTTCTTTGTTTCTGTTCAATTTTTTCTTATCCAATAATACTTTTCCTCTTAATTCTTTCATGTACGATTGCACCTTTAAAGTCTCTTTCGGAGAGACCCTACTCACCGCCACCTTCAAGTGGTATATCATTTCCACAACTATATGAGAGAGTCAAAACAGAACACCTAATTGATAAGCATATAGGATCAACCTAGGGGAGTTGGAAACCCCTGATAGAACGAACGTCATACGAACGTATTACAACCATTGGTTACGTTAGAATCAAATTTACTGACGTCACTCTACTACTTTTATGACTCTACTGCCGTGAAACATGAATCTAAAATGTTATGAACAAACACTTCAACTAGGATTGCTGGTTATTTTTCTTAAATGAAAATACAAAATGGCCAGTCTTACTACATATAAATTAATTTAGCATTATTCGTTATCATACATTACTATTGTGTTAATACTTAGTTGAATAACAAATTCATTCCGCTTAATGGAACACAACTTCAATTTCCTTTGGATAAGATGTAACTAGAATAGACTTATCAGATAAGTAGTTATTCAAACAAAGACTATCACCACTGTGTCATTAAACTTTATCCAATATTCTTGTGAAGTTATATGTCACTCTTAAAACATTATTCATTGGTTGTAAAATAACGCACACATTCCAAACCATCTCTTACTCCAGAGTACTATGTTATCTAGCTCAAAACTATGTCGAAAACTGGTCCATGTAACTATTTATTATCGAACTTATCTATGTTAAGATGTGCTTAGTGTCCGCACATTAATTCTAATGTAGTGTAGTGGGAAAACACTCAAATAGGGATAATCAATTTCTTTCTCATACAAAATTACAGAATCTCTTCATAAAATATGGACTGTGCCATGTTGGTAGGCGTAGACTACCTGGTTGGGATCCGCGAGACGATAACAACCGGTGGTTAGAGACCCTGAATGACATGGCTCAAAATCGTTTGCAGTGGCGCAGGTGCATCCACTTTTTGTGTTCTCCCAAATTCTAATCTTTTAGATTCTTCATGTCCCTTATTTTTCCTCTTTCCAAATTTATTTCACTGGATTATACTCCTTGAATAACGTGTTCAAACCCTAATTTTTCTGATTACAGCTTATAATTTTACTACCTCTACCACTAAGGGATTCGAATTGACAACTGTATCTCTGTGCTAATATGGTATGGCAACTCAAACTGATGTACGTACGTACGAAGTTCTACGTTGTTACTGACTGACTGACTATCTCTCAAAAACTTCAATTGTTCCTTCATTCCTGTTGTTATTGCAATTAATCTCTGTTTACGTTTTTGTTCTATTCAATTCGATCTTCTCAACCTTTTGCTGCTAGTCATTCCACTTCTGATTGGTGTTACTTACTACTTATATCGACAGACATAAGTAGCATACATCACAGTAGGACTGAAGATCCTAGATAACAAGACTATAACCAATCGCAATATCAGTGGTTCATTTATTATTTATAATTCGTTAAATCTTAAGTTTGAATGTGATTGCATACTTTATTCGTTTTATAATTTCATTCTATTCTTTAAATCTCCACGAAGTCATTGACTGTTGTTCTCAGTCTTATTAGTCGGTTCAGACTTCTTGGTTGAGACACCTACTATTATCGTAACCAACGGTTGAAGAGTTTAGTTGATCTAATCGAAAAATGATCACAATAGCACAGTTAAACTTATTCCCTTATCTTTAAATATTTTTACTACAACTACAGTTACAACGTCCACTACAGATATGAATAATTTCACACTTTTCCTTTTCTGGTGTCTGTCTTGATAATTACATCTGATTGTGGTAAGATAATATGGCAACTTAAGGTTATGGATATATTCTCTAAAGTTTACTTTGCTTATGATTAACACTGTATACTTCGTTTTCTGATACCATTGATAATAATTATTTCAACTTCGTTTGTTCTATTTCCACCCCTCCTCTCATTGTACTAATCATAATATGAGTCCTAAATTCTAATGATTTATATTACTATCCCCCCTCCTTGGTCCTAAACTCATTTAAAACTACTTCTAACCAACGGGTTGAAAGATCGATGTTTTATAATAATCTGAATATGGGATTAATTATGTTTTCCTAATAACAAATTTGCACTAATTCACAAAATATTTTATAGTTTTAGTAGTAGCATAATAGTTTTATTCAGATACACCACTTGAATGAAATAACCGAGTACTATTTTAGAAAAAGCATTAGTGATTCTTCTTCCAAACACTTTTTGTCGTCCCTTAAATTGTGAGATTGAAATCGCTTCATATCTTTCTTACTACGAGTTAATTTTTACTTCCTGTACTATATCCTTATACAAAATCTCTCTTTTATATATATTACCACCATTGAAATGACTACTTGTATGAATTCGGTGTTCATGTTGTTGTGCTATTGAGGTATGAGAACTTGTACCAATGCATATATGTGGCTGGTCCTACGTTGTAGCTGACTGATTGAATACACAAATATATATACAGCCAGATAAAAATCACCTCTCAATCATCAACTTTTGTTGTTTTAACAAACTAACGTGTTTATATGTGTGATGTAAAGATCATTTCTGTTAGGAAAAATCTATAGTTGATTTGAAGGGTTTTTTTTTACAAAATTTCATTTCATTTATAAATACTATTGATTACGGATTAACTGCATTGTGTCCATTATTATGAAAACCAGGAATCACTAGACGTTTGTTTAATCGTAATATAAGTTTGAACTGTTGATGAGAAGTCCTTATTACTATGCGACATCTGTCCTGTGCTCTCGAGTTTACGAGATTACTCTATATGTGAAGTAGTTTAGAAAATTCCTGAAAAGCTGAGAATTTCCAAAGTTATTTTTTCCAGCCAATTAAAGTTTTAAGAAAATCTTTAGAAGAGATAACCCATCACATTCTTCCTTAGTTTGATTAATGAAGTGCTGGAATCATTGTAGATATTAATATCTTTTTGAATATTCTATGAAAACCTAACATCACTAATAACCATAAAGATTGTCTTTATTTTCTGAAAGTATAGCGTTTTTTTTTCATGTTTCCGTCCTCTGTTTTCGTCAGGCACATAAGAAAGTACACCCTCTGAGGAGTGGGGTGGTGGTGGCTAGAAATCAGTTAGTGATAATCAATGTAGAATGTGATACATGTTTATTGGTTCCACACTGCATTCATCAGTACATTTGTTATACTCTCTATCTCTTTTTCTAATATTCAAGACTTGTTGAAGTCAAATAAAAGAGAAATAAATTTTCAAAAAGGGTATAACGTTTATGTTTAGTATCTTCATTTTATTATGTGTAAACATTCAATATGGTTTATAGTTTACTTCAATTTGTTGATAAATAATTCATTTCTTTAGTCGAAACGTTTATCTTGTACCGATCGAAATTGTGTCTAATATCTTGTTTTACATATTTAATTTGATTGTGATAGTGTATTGAATGAAATAGTTAGAACTTATGTTACATATACTCAACCACTCATCTATCAATGCCCAATACTGGCTAATGTAGGAATAGTTTTGATAATTACTAGTAATGGTTAAAGCAAGAAGTGATATCCATTTGTGGTTTGAGTCATATTGGGTAGATACGAACTAAATGAATTGGTGGTTGCACCATTACATCACTTGGACTAATGCACATATATGATGGAATCTATGTTACTTACTGACTGGTGGTTTATCGAACACATAACATGAAGCAGATTGCCAACAGTGTACTCAATAATTACTCAAACAATCTTATAAATAGATCATGTCTATGGAATAAAACTATAAAACTTAAAAGTTGTTACCAGGTAGTAGAAGGAATGTAAGTAATAATCAAGCATTTATTCATAGTTTACATCAGATGCTGAATTTGATCCAAAAAAAAATACTGTTTGGTCTTATTACCGAATCCTTTAGCAGTATTCATCCATGACTTCACTGAGAACTTTCAGGCCTTACAACATTCACTTAACATTTAGACCACTGAGTCGACAAACATTGGTTTACATGTTCAATCTGAATCAACCACAATCTTTGGAATCAACTCCGTCTTCCACTTGTTATTTATTTTTTTCAAAACATTATAATTTGTATTTGCCTAACCGAACATACTTTAATTTCTACCATTGCTTAATATGAAAAGATCATGAAGTAACAATAACATAAGAAAGTTAGTAAAATTTAGTAAATACATGTGCGAATATACATTTACATGTATATAATTATTTCATTAGTCAGTCAGTCAGCTACAACGTCGGACCAGCCATATATATGCATCGGCACAAGTCGCCACACCTCATTATCACAACAACATGAACACCGAATTCATACAAGTAGTCACTTCAATGGTGGTAATATATATAAAAGAGAGATTTTGTATAAGGATATAGTACAGGAAGTAAAAATTAGCTTGTAGTAAGAAAGATATGAAGCGATTTCAATCTCATAATTTAAAGGAAGACAGAGAGTCTATACACCTACACTTTTGTGATAGGTTCTGAGCCATTTCATCCAAAGTCTCCAACCAGTGATTACGATAGTGACGCGGACCCCAAACAAGTAGTCTGCATCTACCAACATGGCTCAGACTAGAAGTTAGCGACTTCAAGCTCTGATGTCACGTTGTGGTTTGGCCACCCCTAACATTTTTCCAACCATCCTCAACACTAGTCAACATTGCGCGTCGTGGTAATCGGTGTTGAGGCATACGTACCACGTGGTCTAAACATCTCAGTCAATGAAGATTCACAACCTCATCAACTGATTGACCATCATTCCCTAATACCCTGCCTAATCAGTTCATTAGATAGTTTTTCATATAAAGAATACCGTAATATCATCGGACGCCGTTTCCTATCAACCCAACAGAAAAATGTATCTGGTTTTCTCTTTCTTTTCATTTCATTACATATTCATAGTATGACAGTATGAAAAGGTGAACTAGTTGTGATATTGAATTTAAAAGTGATGAAAAGAATGTTTCTAATTTAATGAGAGAAAAAAACACATTTTTTTCCGTACTATCCATTATCACGTTTAAACTAGTTACAAATAGTTGTATATCCCTGATCTATCTTAATTTAGATATGGATCAGAAATACATTTGGTTTGTTCTATATTCATATGAATACATCTTCACTTGTCTACATGTGTATATGATGGTGTGTGTGTGTGTTTGTGTTTTGTATAAACATGTTTATTTTACAGGTTTCTTTTTTTTTAACGTGTAAATAACTTTGTGTATACGGAGTGATTGACTTCAATACATTTTTTTTATTCTCATACACTGATCAGTCATTAAGCAGATAGTTAAATAGGTATCCATACCAAGATTAGAACTTGATAGTTTCAAATAAGTTGAGTATTGGGTAGAGAGTTAATAATAAATATGTATGTATATGTACATTTTTAATGGTTGAGATGAGTCAATTGAAGCTAGAACATCATGGAAAACCTGGAAGCACTAGACGACCATTTCTTCCTGCTGTGGGACTCCTTAACAGTGCGCATCCATGATCCTGCATCGTGAGATTCGAACCCAGGACCTATCTATCTCTCACATGAATGCTTAACCCCTAGACCACTGAGCCGGCTGGCATCCAACGGTGTTAATGTCTTACTCCAACTAATCCATGAAATTGAGTGACACATCCACCATTGTCTTCAGTGAGTTACTATCTCACAATAGACCCAGTTGAACTCCACTGGTTACTGCTTCTTATTAGAACTCTAGGAAATACCTCTTGAAACTTCAATTGACTAATGATCTAAACTATTAAAATATATATATTCTCAACCACTAAACCATTGCTCCACAGGGAATGTTAATCGTTTTTATAGTGAAGATTTATCATCTCTAATTCTGAATACTAAATTATGATTAATCTCTTCCAAACATATAACACTTGTTTACACTTCTCCTATCTAATTTACCTTGTCAGGGAAATTCTTATTCAGACTTATTTTACTTAATTCTACTGTAAAAGTGACTAGTTACTCATGAGTGAATACATAAATCCTAATTGTTTAATTGTATTTTCCTTCCTATTTTTATTTCAAGGTATAGAGAAAGAGCACGACGTCAACGTCCACTTGCTCGTATGGAACCGATAATCACAGAAGAACCATTATCGGAACAATTTGAAGCTATTGAACAATGTAATACATACACAGCAGATATGAATTCAATACAAACATTAGATACTAATATTATTAATAATAATAATTCAGTTAATGTGCCTTATAATTTACGTCGTAAACAACAACAAACAACAATATCAGTTCAACCACCACCATCGTCATTATCAACAAACTTGAAATCAGATTATCAATTGACTACTAAAGTGAATACCAACGATATTGTTGTGAATAATGATAACAGTAATTCCTTGGAAAATTCCTATGATGATTTTATGGATATTGTTTTCAATGAAGTAAGTAGGATAAGATTTTCATTGTCATTATCGTTATGATTACTACTACTGAATAGAAGTTATTATTTATCTCTATCAAACTTACATATTCAGTGCTCGAAATTATTTACTTTCTGATTGTCTAGTAAGTCTGCAATGTAAAACAAAGCTAGTGTATTGTCAGCGATTCTCTGACTGATAATAGTTAGTGGATGAACGCTTACCTTTGATAAAAGAACACTGTAGGTCTGATAAGTTATTGGTAGGAAACTTTGGACCTAGATTTCTTGCTATTTCACACTCACCAACAAGGTGTTATTTATCTACATTCTGGAATTGCTTGAAATCTGCTTCAATAATTTGAAACTCCCATATTTTAAATTAGATCAAAACATATTACTTACGTCTGTTACCTATGGTGGATCGTAGATCACAGACCAGAATTAGCCAACCGACTCTGTTTTGGGTTCTTCTTTCCAGTTGTATCTAAGTGCTATTCATTTCTTTGATGTCTGTTTCCAATTGTTGGCTCAATTATTTCTTCAGTTTGCCTCTTTTGCTTTTGCCTTTAGGGATTCTAAGTTAGGGTTTGACTCATGATGCAGTTTGATGATTTCAATTAGATGTTAATCAAGCTTTACTGTAATATATCAACCAAAGAAGTTTGTGAGTTGATGATAAAAATGAAACAGATTGCATAACTGAATATAAATTAATAATGAGATAACAGGTAAACTATTCGCCATAAGAATTCTGATGGCTGAAATCAATGTTTCAATATAGGAAGTAGATCCAAACTTGGAAAAAAATAAACAGCAAGATATATATGTATGCGGGGGATAACTTGTTGAAAACCCTGTTCCTTTAAACTACAATTCAATAGAGATGTAGCTAGCGTTCTTCTTCATAGTAAAACTAATGAGAATTGTTAAAAGAACGCTGTACACAGCTAATTTTACGTTGTCATTTTCTAGTCCACGGATATTATCTATCCAAATAAAGGATACTTCACTTGCGCTTACCTCTTCAGTGTGTATCTATAAATTCAGATGCTCCTATAGAGAGATAGCTGTATATTCGGTTTACAACCAATCAAATTAACCAACAAATGTATAAATATCTCTCTGTTTGTGAAAGGGTTTAACAAAAACAATACTTAGCTTTATTTGACCACACTTGATCAACACAGATCATGTAGTCCAATCATTTCGAGTGATCTCGTCTGTTACATATACCCTACAACGATTCGAACCTATGACCCTAACTTATGTATTCAGAAGAAATGTATAACATTCTTTCTATTCTTTGACTATGTAATCGTTAACATACAACTTGGCTTATCATCATTATTGATTGCTTTCTCTCGACTTCTTTTGTATAGTTTATTCATTACCTAATCACTACGTGAACACATCTTATTACGCAATTTTGACAATGTTTAAATAATGCTTATTTTGTAATGTCTCATTTTTTCAAGTTTTGACCTACTTCCTACGGTGTATTATTGATTTTAGACTTTAGTATTTGTTCTTATTATTTCATAATTCACCTTTCATCTCATTATTAATAATTTGTACTTGTTACTTATTCTAATTACTTGTGTTATGTGCTATGTCATTGTCTATTGTCTAATTGCAAACTTCCATGATTGATTAAATAATCTTCATATCAATATTCCTACATATTAAACTAAAACTTGATGAAGAGATATGGCGAGACTATAATTTATAGATGAAACAATCAGGTATAAGATAGTAGGTCTTGGATTTTGGGCGCGAAATTCACTCATCCATCTGGTTAAATAGAGTTTTGGCATTTTAGCTGATGGTCAGTTCGTGATGAAAAACCTGGATGTAATTCCTAACTGTAAATTATAATCCGAATTCCTCATTCTTATTTATAACCCTCATTTGGTCCTAGTTATTAGGTGGACACTTTCAAGGTCAGTCTATTGTCGCTCATAGGTCGTCCATAAATTATTGTTTCACCGAAGATATTTTATCGAAAACAATATTGTTCTTATGTTTTTTTTCCTAATCTACTGATTGAACTGATGTTTCAAAATACTACTGAATAGCGATTAAGTAGTTCAATAATACCAGTTAAATAGTTCTGTTGCAGTGTTATTCGAGAGGAAGCAGTGGATCCTTCAGTTATACGAATAACAAATTACAAGATGTACTGTATATCAGAAAGCAGTATACAAGTGTTAATCACATGGAAATGTCCTCATTTATAATAAATGAAACTTTGAAGAGTATGACACAAATATGAAACATGATCATGAAAGGGAAAATAATAAACTTATATTTTGAAATAAAATAACTGGTTAAATTCACTTGGTATTGTTTACTTGGATCTTCCCATTGATTTTTAGGACTTCAGTTGGTCGGTCTCTTATTACAATATGTGCATACTGTGCGTATTGGCTCGGTATTGCCTTAATTCACAAGCATTCTAAGCAAAGATGGATGATGGCTAGCGGCAATAGAATCCAAGGATGCATTTTTCGTCCTATTTAGGACTGTTCAGCTGGATTTACCTGCATCCCAGTGCGGACATTAACTCTGGAATGCAGGTAAATTTAGCTGACGAGCCACAAGTAGGATTCCACTACTCGGCATTACCCATCTTTGCTTAAAATAGTTGGTTGCAACAAGCACCATAAAAACTACTAAAGGTTTGGTGACAAGTCAAACTAATAATAATTAGTGTAACAAAATGCACAAGATGAGTTGTCTTCTTTAGATCGGAATAATTGATGGAGACTATGGTCATGGTATTGTAAGGGCTTGTGAAATTTCGTCTTAATGAACGGTCAATTATTATTGTGTATATTCTTTGCAAATAATTAATTTTTATAGTTGCTCCATTTTGGTGATTGAAACTGAGGCTTTTGTACTTGCACTGACATATTTACGTAGTTACTTCGAGGAGGAATTACGTTCATGGGTATGAGCCCGCTTCAAATTTTCAATGGAATTATTTCTGACAAATTCATTTTAATTGTGTTATATCTCATATATTCAGTGTTTCTTTTATCATGTGAATGTTCGACCCTGAAGTATTGTTAAGGACCACAATGAATAAAGTTGTTTCGACACATATCTTCGTCAAAGAAAACTATCTCTTTGAATAAATCTTTACCTTTACTCTTCTTCATGTGAAAAGGAGTGAAGGACTAAAGTTTTACGGCGAGACTATAATTTATGTATGAATCCCTTGAGTTTTCGTGCAAAATTTATTGGTTAGATGCACAAATGGATCCAACTATGTTCTACAGATAGTCAGCCGAAAACAACTTGAAAATAAAAACCGAAGAATTTCAAGCCTTCTAGAAGATTCCAATCATCATTTTTTTATATCACCAAAAAAATCCCGAGTTGAAAGCATTTCGTCATACTTTATACTATAGTTGTCGGAACAAGAATAAGTAATGTCACTTATCCATTATGACTTTATCTGATCATCTTCATATCTACCTCTTAAGTTTTTTTCGGGGGGGGGGGGAGATCTAACACTGACGTAAATTTTGACCGATTATACGGACAACAAATAATTTAATCATTTCTAGTTTTTTATGCTTAACAATTCTGAATGTTTTATCTGTATAGCTCATTTGGTTACTTTTGGCGAATATCTACAGCCTACTTCAATTAACGCTACTCTACACACTCAGATACGGATAGGTTTGTCGAAATGTCACACGGACTATAGAAGACTTAAATTAGTAAGTGTGAGACATCATACAAAAATCTTATAAGTTGTCAATTACTCTTCGTTAAAAGATATTTGTAACTAGGGCTGCAGGTGTCGCGTTCTCTAAAAAGTATTTCCCGATAGTGTTGTCTAAAAGGATAATGAAAACTTCACAATCAAACCATTCAGCTTAGAGAAAATGTTTTTATAAATTCAGTATTCACCATCAAAGAATATCGATTGATTGTATCCTTTTGAACGACAATATTTTACACCAAAACATAATCACGTCTGCTACTAAAGAATACCAGGATGAATCAATGATTGAAATATGTCTAGCACTCAATCAGCCTTTAACTGGTTAAATTGTTTTATGAAAATAAAATCACTTAATAATAATAATTAGTTCATTGTTTTCACATTCATGAGACTAATTTTTTCTAATATTTACTTAATTTGAACAGTCTTTCCCCATTTATTAGACTACATCAATTGGATCGTTACCGAAGTATAATACTACTACGACTTCTGTTGTAATGACTACAACATCTAATGCTGTCATCTCTTCACATTCTCTATTTACATCTTCATCTAACTCGTCCTTATCACCATCATCATCAATCCAAACATCAACTAATTCTGTCGTTGTCCTCTCTACGAGTTGCTTATCTACTGTCACCACCACCACTACTACTACGTTCACTTCCACTGTATCATCAACATTTACTTCTACATCTCTGAGTGATATAAAACATTCAATTTATACATGTCATATATGCAATAAAGCTTTCAATAAAATCAAATCACGCAATGCTCATATGAAAACTCACAGTGATAAAATTATCACCAATAATAAGTCACGTCGTCAATACATTTAATCAATTTTATTTATACTACTCTTTCGGATATCAGTAGTTAAAAGAAAAAAAATAAAGGAAATTTATCTCAGTGTGATATATTTGTGATACATTTTAAGAGGAACGTATTACTATCAGAATCCTTTTTTGTTTCTTTTTCTTTTTTAATCAAACGACAATCACCTATCTGAATTATATTCATATCCTGTGAAGTTTTTTTCTTTAAAAAGAATCGTTTCTATTGTTTATCACTTATCGTTACTGTTTTTTAATTATTTCCGTCCTATTGTTTCATATTCTCATTTTTATTAGAAAATCATTAGATTGATAGAAGTCAATAGTTGATGAGGGGAAATTGTTTTTGTATGGTTTTCTGTACACTCCATAAACTGATCTTTTTTTTCGGTACATATTCTCTTTACATAATTTGTTTGTACTTGATAAATCCTACTGTCACTCTTTTCTTTGTATGCCCAGATTGGACAGGTTGTAAAGTAAATAAATGAAGCTATTTTTTTCTCATTTTTATTTGTTTATCAACATAGTGGATAATACCAACATCATTATCTTTACACTTAATATTAGAAATATATATCCATTTTCTGTATTATTCAGCACTAACTTTTGAACTATTTTAAGTAGTATAATTAGTTACCATCAAAAACTTTATCATTCATTTTGATTATATTTTCTTGTCATAATCCTGGATATTTATCATATTCATTAGATTCATTATCGTATACATCGCATTGTATTTTTCTTTTTTAAGTGATGAAATGTTATCCCTTCGTAATCTGCTTAAATTTATTTTGTTGTCGTTGCAGTTGTTGTTAAGGGAAATAACTAATATTCCTTAGATTTTTTTGTCTCGTTTTAAACAGATATTCAAATAAGAAACAAAAAGCGCCTATTTTGTTTTTAGAAGAAGAAAAATAATAATAATCTTTTAACTACTTTGCTTGACTATTGTACGTGTGTATGTGTGTGTGCGCGCGCGCACGTATGTGAACCCTCAAGCACTTTGGTTTCGTTTTTGTATTTATTTATGTATTAACTTTTCTTTTTTTTTTAAAACTTTTATTCCCGCTTTTTGGTATCAGTTTAAACAAATGTATGTTGTGTATAAGTTATATCCTTTTTTTCTAAACAGAATAATATTCAATGACTTATGCATACGACAGTGAATGACGACGACGACGATATGTGCCACCTAATCATCATATACAGATATACTGATCAGTGTATAACCGGTTTAAAAATGTTTGTTTCATAGATTCTTCTCTTTTTTTTTGAATATTGACCAGAAACCGTAAATAGATAAGTTTTATTGGAATTTTACTTATTCTATATCATTTGTCTTATCCTAATCATTATTAGATTCATTGAACACTTATTACATTACAGATAGTCTGTATGTTGACATGGCAATATACTCTAATGATCATTTGTATATTTTAACTTTTCTTTATAAAAGAAGAAAGAATATTGTTGTATTTAAAGTATGAATTTTGATTATGAAATGAATAAATGAACAAGAATAGTTTCTTTGATTATATATATATATATGGAATTATCGTTCATATAAATAATAATCCTGTTGCCAGGCTGCTCTTATACACCGGTATCAGATGTAATAATTTACAGTGTTGTTTCTTTCAATCTAATTAATCAATGTATAAGATTTATTTGTATATTCATTTTATTCTAGATAATAATCATAATAATAATAACGTGTATTGGTTTCCATGAAATGTCCATTTTAAAAACAGCAAACAATTTTACTTTCTGTGTGTTTATTTCTTGTCATTATTGTTTATATTCTTTTCAAGTCAACAGATTTATTTCTCCAATGTCCAAAAAAGAGGCAGTAAATGATCAATTCTATCATATACATAACTTTTCATTATTGCCTTCTTATTGTGCGCCATGTTTTTCTGTCACTCATACTGTGTGTGTGTGTCTGTGTGTCCAGAAGAGCCTGTGTCCTTGCCCACTCCCTCCCTTGTGTGTAAGTTTCAAGTCTTTTCACTGCATTGTCACCGTTGTTTGTTTGTTTTTTCGCTAGAAAACAACAGGTTGCCAGTTTCTATGGATATCATTAATTAATTAATTGTTTGTTTGTTTTTTTCTCCTTCCCTACTTGCATCATTCAATTTACTTGCCTTATCATTATCATATTTTTGTGTTGACATTTTTTTTCTTAAGATTCATTGTTACTATTGCTATTGTTGTTAACAATAAAAGTCAATATTATGTATTTACTGATATTTTTATCATATTTTCTGAAACAAAAATTGAACAGAACGATCAAGAAACGCAGTAGTGGTTTTCTTGACTTCAACTACTATATAAAGTCTAGTCACGTGGTCCGTTTTTTTTCGCAATTGCAATCAGGCTACTCATAAGTAGCTGATATTTTTATGCAAAATAAACAATTGGACAGTGGCTAGCAGAGGAAAAGTCCACTGAGCCTATTCCTCGGCTAGCCGCTGTCCAACTGTTGGATGGAGAATGCTGGTGAGCGGTCTATGCTCCTTCACGAGGAGTAACAGGCGTAAGTAAGTAGCAGAGGAATCCAAGACGCACATTTCGTCCTATTTAGGACTCGTCAGCTGCATGTACCTGCATCTCCGAGTTGGTGTTCACTCTGCGACTCAAACCCAGTATCGTTCGCTTCGAACGCTATCCACTCAGTCCTGATAGCCACTTGCTTGTGCAATGGGGTGAAGTTAAAGAATTCACTTCGTATTGTTTGCTTGAATCTTCCCATTGATGTTTAAAACAAAACGCACGTCCTGAATTCCACTGCTATCTACTATCCATCTTTGCTTATAGTGCTTGTGAATTAAGACAATATCGATCGATATGTATTTATATATTGGAAAGTAATAATGCACAGATTATGCAAAGGTAGTGAAACTAATAAATGGTTGAGTAATTGCCCAACATGATTAAATAAATAAACATGCGAACATCACAAAGGTTATATAAGAGATGAATATGAGCAGGAGGAAGAAAAATAAAATGTTGGGGACATGGTTGAAAAAATGAATAGAATTAACAAAGGTTATTAGACAAATATCTAATCACCATGGCAAGGGAAAGCTGATGAAACTTTCCTTGTGTATACATAGGTCAGTTTGTGAACGTCTGATAGAGTAAGATTGATATTCTGAATGCATCACTTACATTTATTTCATGTCCAACATCCAAAAAATGTCTGGCAATTGCGCTTTTAAAGGCTTTACTCTCGTTCAACTGTAGGTTCCTAGGTATGTGTTCAGAAAATTTAGTAGAGGCTTTTCTCTCTATCTACTTGGCATCATAGGTACACGTAAATTCATAAATACAATTGGAGATGACATTGGAAGGGTATTGATCTGTCTTTGAATGGTATAATGAACGTCTGTTGTTATTACCATGAAACCAGTTAGACAGCAAGGAAGCTTTTTTCATTGCCGTCTTGACTCTTCCTGAAACCTCATCCCCCTTGAACGGAAGGCGGATGAAGACAGATTTCTTCTCAACAGTTGGTTACTCATCATCTTTGGGATATTTTTTCCATATCTCGTAATAAATCCATTCGAGTATCCATTTTTTATGAAGTGGTTTTCCAGAATAGCCAGTTCCTCACTTATTTTGCCTTTTGAGGATGACGTCCTAGCTCTATTGAAGAACGTTTTGACTATACCCCTCTTGTAGCTGATAAAACAAAAGCTGCTTAAGTTCAAATAATGTCACAAGTAAATAATGAACACATAACAAAAGATACTATAAATATACCCGATACATTCAATTGCTCCTTTTTTGAAAACTGAAATGCGCCTTTAAAACTATTTGCCGAGAGTTTTTCTAAGAATTAGTTTTAATAATTCGGCTTACAACTGAACCAACTTATATGATGAGTTCACCATAGAAATTATAGATCTTAACAGAAAGTTGTATTTATGAACTTCAAAAAGCAGTCATGATCTTTTTGCCTTCAGATTGTTGTAAGTTAAATGATCAATTAGCTCTTTCAAAAATTTCTGAAGATGTTTATTGACCTTGTTCTCAATTGTTGCAATGGAATGCTAGATATTTATTAGTGATTATATCGATAATTTTAGGTTGTATGCAACTGACCTTAGTTAGATAACTACTGGGGAGTGGAAATCCTTGAAAATCTTTGTTTTTGTAATGTAGAATTCCTCAATAATGCAAAGCTACCCGAGATCGAACCCAGAACCCTTATTCTTCGGTCCTAACGGGCTAAACTTTGATTTTGACTACTGCCTTTCAACTCTATTTTAATAGAAAAGGTATGGTGAACAAGAACGCAAGTGAGGACAATCAAATATATGTAGACACAAAATTATAGAATATCTTAGTAAAATCTGAGAACCACCATACAGTAAATACTTCGTTTGCACAATGTCAATCAATTGTCTCACACTTCATTGTTCTTTCGTTTCCATATCAATCATTTTTTGTTCTCATTCTCTTTTCTTCGATCTTCTTAACTTTCTGTCACCTCCAGGCAGTTCACTTTCGATTGACGATGAATACATACTGTTATGACTTTATGTCCGGCTTTTTATCACGTGATTTATCCACCAATCAAAATACGACTTATACAATCTTAGCACTGTGCTAAACCAATGACGTTCCACCGGTATGAGCAGCCTAGCGTCCTTATTGGTCCTACGTCCCCCTAGCCCGTCCACTTAAGTGCAGAATCCTAGTACCAGCTTCCACTATGCGAATCGAATCGTTTATTTCAGACATACTGGGTTTATATATCAACCAAACAGACCGCAACGTACCATAAAATAGGAAATAACATTCATACACAATAAAGCCAAAAGTGGCTGTGAACGTGGGAGGCCGTAGTCAATAAACTGAACATAGCTGAAGAACCGTAAATCGTACAATAATAACATATAGGTCAAAATAAAGCTTATAACAAGGGGAATATAGATATACATAATCTAGTTACTGAGTATTTATACCATGAGAATATATATAAATAATAATGGTCC